AAATGCTGAATATACCAGCACAGCAATACCACGTATTGGCTTCTGTGGTCCAAGGATTCCGGCAGCAGGAATTCATGTGGCCAGGGGCTGCTGCCACCCAGCTTATAAAACCTAAGCCAGGAGCTGCCCCACTGCTGGAATGAAAACTTTAGGACTTCATGGTTGTTTTGATGCTTGTGGCAGCAATAAGTCTGTTCCCAGCTCTTGACTGATAAAGGGAGACAGGAAGAAAACTTCAAGTCTTAAAGCAAAATCTGCTCGTAGGAAGTGAAAATCATGGGGTGGCTAAGTGAGAACACTAGGGGATTGGTTTGAGGCGGAGAAACACTAGACCACCAACATGAGTATGGGAATGTCTCTGTCACCTACTGCCCCATTCCCCTCTGTGAAGAGTGGCATTTCAAATTATTTGGACAGTGAGTCATCAGAGAAATGCTATTTTTCATTTTGGAAAAACATCGTATCTCAGGACATTTTGGTGTTATCTGTTCTCCCTAGGAGTATGCTAATAATGGTGGGGAACCCCTTAGAAATTAAATCCATATGCATTCCATATTAAAAAAAATAACCCACCCAGGCCATTACACTATTGCTGACCATAGGAATTCAGTATTTATGATTTACATTCTTTCCCATCCTTGCTGTTTTTCAGACGTGAAGAGCCGACCTTTACAGCCTGAGCTGAGGTTGTAAATCACATTCCTGAGGGCAGAGGGAGCTGCTACAGCCCAGAGGAACTGCCTTTGATGTTTGCAATGTGCATCAAATCACCAGGAAAAGAACCCACATGGAGAGGCAGATGCTGTGTTGAGGGGACGGCATCTAGCTCATTTTAGGTCACCAACACAAAGGGATGGAAGCGCTGGGGACCACCATTTACCCATCCAACATGACTGACACTGATGACCAACACCAGTCATTCCTTCCCTGGGGCACACAGCCAGTGAAAACTGCCTGAAGTCAACATCTGGAGAGTGGCCTGGTGGTCTGGTCATCTGTAAGGAAGGGAGCCTCTGAGGGCTGAGTCTCCTTGCAAGGACAAAGTTGTGTGATGCCCTTGAGGAGCTGGCTGCTCAGGAAGGAATCCATGGGGGCATAAGTCAAGTGCAAACCAAGGAATCTGGAAGAGAAAGAGTCTTGGGACCTGGGTTGATCTATAGTTCCTCCTGGATGAGTGTCAGGATGAGTGTCAGGCAAGTATCAGCCTCCACCTGCCTCATGTTCCTAGAAATCAGGGAGATACCACCAAATTCACACTCAGAAAGAACATACATATGCGTGTGTAGTGTCTGTGATGCCCTTCCTTTGGAACTGAGATGCTGCTCTGGCACTCAGCTCACTAGCAAAGCAAAATTCGGTGAGTGCTAACAAAACTGCAGAGCAAACTGGGGCTTCTGAGAGCCCCTTCCAGTGGTGTTTCAAAAGTTCCAGTCCTCTGAATACCTTTGTCTGAAAGACTTTGTCCAGAGAAGCCCTAGTGAACTCATTCCCCTGCTCCTGCTCTGGGTTTTATTTGCTCTCAGAGAAGGTGGAGGATCCTAAACACTGAGCAAGCTGGAGCTCTGAGTCTTTCCAGGGTTGCACCTGTAAATGACTTCACCAGCACGTGATGTGTGGAGCAGTCAGATGGCTCAGAGTGAGAGAGAGCATGCAGCCCTCTGTTAGGGTGGTGGGACAAGTCAGGTTTATAGTGCACATTTCCAGTACAGAGCAAGCGTTCAGCAACCCTGCCTGCAACTTGACCCCGTAATTAAGGCTATTGTGTGTATACTTCGGATGTGAAAAAGCAATCTTTTGGTTCTTTGGTCTGAAATTTTAAGAAATCATTTTTCTTTTAAAGGCAGACAAACCTCATTTCCTGTGGTTTGTAAGGCCACAAGAGTTCCCTTTACTCAGCATCCAGAAAAGGAGACACACCCTATGCTGGAACTCTGGTGTCTGCTAAGAACGGGAGGAGGTCAGGCGGCTGTGAGGAAACCTTCCACCATTGCAGGGCTTCACGGGGCCCTCAGCAACACGATGTCTCCAGAACATTCCAACCCAGTAATTACCACAAGAGCATAAAAAGTACAAGCACGAGCCCAGATGGAAACCGGGGAGTTGGCTGACTCAGCTGTGAAAGCAGATTCCTCTGGGAAAGACTACTTTCTGAATGATCTACTGTCCTTTTTGGGCTTTGGGAGGGGAATGGATTCGCCAATGCCCTTCCTTCTCTCTGCTTCAAGAGGACAAACGTGCTGGGGCTTAGGCGTCTCCTTCACCAGGGCTCTGGGTGGGACGCTTGCCTGTCATCTACCTCTTTAGCCAGGCAGTTGTGCTGAACATGGAGACTGGATTTCAACCAGTGCATTACGGTATGAGAGCATCACAAGGGACAAGCTAAGCTGGATCATGGGAAAGCCTGGAGAGACAAGGACCTGTTGCAAACCTTCAAATGTGTCAGTGGCAACAAAGTGGACATTGGGGAGACAAAGTCACAGATGAAATTCTGAAATAGACTAATGGCAGTTTTAGTGGATATCAGAGACAAGATTTTCACAATTCAGCATGCTCACAAACTAAAGCAGTTTGGATCCAACTATTTCCCCCCTTCTATTGTAGACATCAATGATTCCTTTAAACTCAAGAACATAGCAAAATTATAAAGCCATATTTACTTATTGCATCAAATTCCGAAGTCCAATTAAAAAATATTGCAACCCTCACTTGTGATAGTTCTACCATCAGGTGTAGAATAAAATGTGATAAGGGGAAATGTTGTAATTAAGAGCTAGCCTGTAAAACTGTAGTCTGTCAGTCTCAACCATTCCAATACTGATCCTTGCAAAGAAACAAATCTCAAATATAACCCTGGAAACCTGCACATACATATAAAGGAGAGAAGTGTTCCCTTAGACTATGGAACGCTGACAAATAGAAGTCTTAGCCCTCTCTACATCCTGATTTGTCACAAAAGTAGGAAGTACATTGAGCACTGCAATAATGTGCCTGTGGGATTTCTAGCTGCATAACAGTAAGAATGACATAAACACCACCACCTGATAAACATCATGGTGGGCCCAGATCATTGAGCACAGAAGTCACTCTTGCCTACCCCCATGTTCAAATTCAGCCTGGCTTCCAATAGTTACATTTCTTCTTTCTTAACCTGTGTTAAGCCTTCCCTTTCTCCTAGTGACTCAGTGAAGACCTCTAAGTGCACTATTCAACCCCAAACACTCTAGTCCAGTTCCAAGGTAAGCCTTAGTAACAATGGGTATTGCTTCAGGGTATTGTGCTGTGAGTGGCTTCTGAAGAAAGACCAATGGGCTGATGTACTTGGTAACAAATTTTCTTTCTCATTGGTGAGAACTTGACTCATGAGCTTAGCATGGAAGTAGTGCTAATAGTCCTGGTGAAAAGAAGACTGGTATTTATGGGACATCTTGTATAATCAAAATGCTTAATGGTTTAGTGAAATGTCCTAGCATGGTCAGAGAGCAGTTTGGACACAGCTTTATACAAATAGTGGAAGGGACACAAGAAAAGTGGGAGAGGCCCTGGAATCACCAAAAATGGCAAATAGGAGAAAAGTATGTAAAACATTCATCATGCTTTATGCCTGAAACAATGGTATCTTTAAAGACAGCAATTTGCAAATGGGGAATTTGATGTAATCTACAATCAAATTGTTTCAGGTACTGAAGGATAACCCTAAGACATACATTCTATTTCCAGCAATATGAGGTCCATTTCCATAGAGATGGGTGGAAAATTAGGTCAAGCTAGCAGTGTGGTTTGGAAGAAGAATGGCAGCTGTGGGTCTGGCCAGTCACGGAAAGCACAGGTTTTGTAACCACTGTAGTCAAGAACTCTGACTGAACAGGGAAAAAGAAAGTGTGAACTCAAAGAAAGTGCATGGAAAGTATCTAAGATCTTTCCTAGTTGTTCCCTACAAACCACAGAAGAAAAATGGCCTCATATGCACTTTACTTCTTATATATGTCACAGCAAAGTCCAATTTACCACCTACTCTATAGGTACCTCTTCTGTCCAGCTGTGGAGAAAGGACACGAGCATCACTGGAAGTGTTCCAATGCCACCCATCAGAGGAGTGCTATGTTGCCAGGCCCAGCTGTCCTGGAAAAGGAACTTGGAAACCCTCATTGAAGTGGCACGTGCACAAGGAAGGACAAATAAAGAATGTGAGAAAACAAAATGCTTTCTCCTTGCAAATCAAAGTAATATTTAAAAATTGTAACCATGTTCAAAAAGGCCTCTGATGGATAAGAGTATAGATAGGCTGGAATAAAGCTGAGTGGTAGAGCATTTGCCAAACACATGCAAGGCCCTGGGTTCAAATCCCAGCACTGAAAAATAAATAAATAAGTGAAGGAGAATGGAAGGCATCTCTCTGGCTCTGTTCAACACTTTCACAGGAAGGCTGCAGGTAAAAGCTCAGAGTTGGGGCCTACCGGCTGCAGATTTCCAATTCTTTAGTGTGGGCTGGTGGCTGCTGCTCCTTTCCAGGACACTCACTTCTGACTGAGGAAGCAACTCTGTGTGGCTCTGAGCCAAGTGGTCACCTAAAGCACAGGATGTGACCCTAGCTTTGCAAATTTCACTTAATCCCCTCTCCTTGGAATTCTTTTACAGAAAAAGAAAACATATGACACTTCTATGGTTAAGAGATTTTCTTAAAGGAAGCCAAGACATCAAAATCTTCACGCTCTGTGTAACAAGGAACAAGACTGCTTTCAGCAAGTGTCTTTCTGTACACTGACCACTTGTTGAAGAAAGAAAATCTAACTCAGTCACCATAATCACAGTGAAAAACAACCACCATCTTGTTCATTTTCTACAGATCACTTGGGAAGGGTATGAACTCACATATAAATGACTGTAAGCCCTTTAAAATATGTACTTTTCCTTTTATTTTTCCTTACCGTATAAAATGCACACACGCACATATACACTATCTTAAAGTCACTTGAAAAATACAGATGCTAGCGGTAAGATGCAAAGAAACGAGCATTTTACAGACTTTGATGGCCTTTCATGTGAATTGTTTTATTTAAAACAGGGATCCATCAGAGGTGATGAACTATTAGGAGAATGTTCTAGAGCATGGCACAGATGAAAGATAATACTCACCAGCACCTCACATGAGACTAAAAGATGATGCGGGCAACACGCCGTGGAAGGAAACCAAGCACATGTAAAAGGCACCTGGCGGGGGAGGAGCCGTGGTGTCGCTGCCCCTCTAGCAGGGTCACTTTTGTGCACTGTAAGTCTGGACAAATGACATTTGGAATGGAACAAAAAAGGCTCTGATCTGAAACCCAGTTCCTATGCAGGCAACTAGCCTTTCTCTGACTGCTGTTCAACCTGCTGTGCTGACAGCCTTAAAAAGGGCTAAACAGGAACATGAAAGCACCCCCCTTTTCTCCTTGAGAAGGATGGGGAATCCTCCCACAATTTCAATTTCAGCAGTGGATTCTGCAGGATTTTAAGCATCCTACCTTAAAAACAGCAAAATAAAAGATAGTAAAGTGGTCTGAACTTAAACAAACCCATCAAATGGAAAGGCAGATTCATATAAATGAAAACCAGTGACCAGTCAATCATCCGTGGCTAAGGTCGTGTCTGAATGAAGACTTTTATCCACATCCACAAGACACAGCGCAGAGATGCTCTGGGACTCTGAGTAAACAGCTACCTTGTCCTTCCAACACTATGCACTGCTGCCTGTAACTGTGTGCCAAGTGCCGAAGCTAGGGGAGACCCCAAATTGGCAAAGAACCCAGGCCGTGGTCTGCCTGCTGTGGCCAGGTCTGTGGGAAACAAGACTTATACTCTCAAATTGTGACCCCCCCCTCAAGCTCCCCTTTCTCTTCCTGTGGCTCTGTACACTTTGATCTCCTGACAGGGAGGTCCAGACAAGTCCTGTTTCCCTCTCAGTTCTAGGCACTCTCTGGAACACCTCTGATAAACCAGGGCCTTTCATTTCTTCCCAACTCCATTGGTGACTTTGGACTTGGAATGTCGGTTCCTTCTTCTGGAAGAATGGCTTTCGTTGTTGCCTGAATGCTTGGGTGGGCTGTCTTCAGAACCTGGCCAAAGGAAGCAGAGCACAGTCACCTGGGGCTGCAGAACTTCCTAGACTGTCTTTATTGTGCTGTTTCCAGCTGGCCCTGCCCTGCCAACTACGAAAAGACTCTTCCCTGATACTTGCTCTCCCTCTAGTGGCCTCATTAATAATTAAGGCCAGACATGCAGAAACCCCAGCACTGAAGTGTACAGTGGTGCCTTGGGCACACAAGGAAACAACCCCCAAAGTCAGGATGGCTCCTATAGAATTTTTACACCTGCACTGTGTAAGGTGAACTGTGGTCACAGTGATAAGGACTTTAAGCGAGTATAAATGGACTGGAAGCACACAGGTGTTCATCTTACTCTTCCAACCAAAGAACAATTACCTGAGTTGGCATACCTTGAGCTGTCACATGCCAGGATTTCTAAACTCTCAATTGGGGAAGGATTTTTGGCTTTATAAAATTAAAATCACTAATTGAGAGACTGACACCTTTATAAATCAGGCCCTTGCTGCCTAGGATGGGAAGCCCTGGAGTTGCAGTTGCATTGGCTGGGCTCTGTCCTCAGATGGCGCCCAGGGCCACTCCTTAGCCTAGCAGCTGGGTCAAAGGCTTTTCTGCCCAGGGATCATATTTATCCCTTTGGTAAATCTCCACCCATGTCAGCCATCCAGAAAAAGTTCCCAGAGTTTTGTCTCCATTGTAAGTATCATTTGTCTGAGTCCAAAAGATTCTTTTAGCATTCTTAAGGCTTTTTTTCTTTTTCTACTATTCTAAGTATGTAATAACTATAACTTTATCACTGATGAATTCTTTTCAACATACACCCAGAAGTGCCCAGAACTGATCTGTAAAAGAGGGCTCTATAAGGTGGGTCCAGGGAGCTCCCCTTCCCACCTATGTCAGCACTTCACAATGGGTTGCTGATCCATTCCTTGATTAGGGAGAAACTGCCACTACAAGAGTGGTTGTAAACTCCACAGGGTTCACACTAGCATCTCCCCAGTGTGATCCCTAAAAAGCATGGTCTTGGAAAACCTGGGGAGGATAAGTGCTCAGGTTAACATCTTCTCCACATGCCACAGTTTCTCTGGGCAATTCTGGGAGTTCAGTGTCTGGCACTCACCATTTCCTCCCCCAACCATGCTTCCCATCCATGCCCATGCAGCCTCATTGTTCCACAAATAACCAAGTAGGCCTAGCTCTTTTGGTAAGAGGCTAATGGATGGTTCCTGACTATATTATTGAAATCCCTCTCACACTGCTCTGCCTCCTATATCAATAGTATTTAACCGCTCTGCCTCTTTTGAAAGGCTCTTACTTCTGGTACACAATTCTCTCTAACCCTTTTCACTCACAACCAAAACCAAGAGGGAGAACATTCCATGGGGTTCTTGAGATGGTACGGGCCTCCTTACAATACCTGCTTCAGGAAAGGCAGAATTGTGTGAACATTTTTCTCACATAGCAAGTGTGTCAGCTGTAAGCTCCCTCTTTTCTCTCTCTCCCTTCCCTCCTACTTTTTTTGTTGTTCGTGCTGGGAACTGAATTCAGGACCTCATGCATGCGAGGCAAGTGCTCTACCACTTGAGCCACATCCCCTAGTCATTTTACTTTTAGTTTGTTCTTTGGTGAGGGTCTCATACTAACTTCCTACCTCTGCCTCCTCAGTAGCTGGGATTACAGGCATGTACCACCACCCCAACCCTGCTTGTTTTAGTGACAGAAGACATTTGATGACTAGGTTTGTGAGACCCTATGAGGCCTACATCACCAATAGTCAGAGGATGAACACTGATCCCAAATCTCTTCAGTAGGTCTGAGGGACAAAATACCTTTTGTACCTTTCCCATGAGGCCAGGAGATGTCTGGGCTGTATGTGCTGTCTTCACACTCTGAATAGGTCTGGGGAGAGAGACAGGCTTAGGGAGGAATTTCAGGTCTCACCTGGGATGAAATCACCCATGTGGTCCCCAGGCTGATCTCACCCCTAGAGAGTCACAAAGTTTCGAGCCAATGTTTCTTGGCTAGAAAGTTAAGGCTCTTCTGTTAGGCCATACAGAATCAACCTTCTAGAAAGTGCCCAAGTCCCTGAGACGAAAGGTATGAAGGAAGGATAAAGGTCTTTCGTTTACCCTAAGGAGAGGGAAGGGTAGGTGTTTTGTAGGTGGGGTGGGAGGTGCCCAGCTAGGATACAGAAGAAGAAAAGCTGCAAAAGAGGAAGAGTCGGAATATATAACCCAGCCTCCCAAGACCAGTCCAGGGCTTTCTCACTTGCTTCTTTCTTTTGCTTTTTAAACATATAATTAAAATTTATCCTCCTTACAAAGGAGGCTAAGATACTGATGTATGGGCTGCCGAGTCACAAGCAGACTCATTAATCCTGACACGGTTAGGTTCCTAGGGGAACAAGACTGAGAGAGCTCCACAGGGCTTCTATTTGAGTATGCTTGGGGCTAGTCCTACTTTAGGTGAAGGCCACCTCTGCCTCCTTCTGTACCTTTTCCCGGTGACCATAGTGCTCTGCGTACCAAACCATGCCGTACAAGCACAGGAACGTGGTGAAGGCCTGGAAGACAAAGACACGTGTGAAGCCAGTTTATAAATGATGACATACAAAACATGCTATTTCCAAGAATGTCAGGGTCTTGTAGGAATTCACAGGTATAGCACATTTCTATCATCTGTCCTGAGGATCCTGGTCACAAAACGGCTGGAAGAGGTAGAGCTGGGACTACCAAGAGATGAGAACTTGGAGAGGTGGCACATCCTGGAAGCTTGGGATAAGAAGGATTGTGAAGAGACCACAGTTACTGCCTGTGACTCTATTGTCAGAATTCGAGGTCGTCCTCAATGTGGAGGCAGGAGGGATGTGCTTCCTGGACAGCTTTGCAGTTCTGTTTAAGAGCATGTATGGCACTCTGTATTTCTGATCTTCGTGGCTGGTCCTCTCTGCCCTGCCCCCATCACTGGCAGGAGTTAGGAGGACTCAGCGTGGGGAAGAGGATTTCTGAATGAAAAAGAAGTTTCATCCAGCCTGGTCATGATGGCACTTGAAGGAACAGAGGACAGACAGCCTTCTGTCCTGGCAGAACTGTCATGGCTGCTGGGTGCCAGTGGCCCCACCCTGACCACTGCTTATTGTTGCTTAGGTGTTTCTCATTTAAGTAGATAGGAAAGTAAAGAGAGAGAAAATGCTTCACAAGCCCCTGAGCGACATGAGAGAGAGGTGGGTACCTCTCTCTTGCATGGTCCACCTAACACACCACACCCTAAATGACTCTCAGGTTTAGGGAAAGAAAAGCTCGTTCACTCAGCCCTCTGTCCCCACAGTGCCCTGCCCTCACATGGACACACACTGCTTTCCACCTCATTATTCCCTGAACAGCAGGCTCACAGCTATTCGCATAGCACTGCATTAGCGGTCCCATTAAGTGCTGGCATTATATTATGTTAACTAGATGATTTAAAGTACACAAGAGGATAAGCAGAGGCTACATGCAAAGACTATGTCATATTATAAGAGAAACTTAAGCACCAGTGGATTTTGGTATCCACAGGGGGTCCTAAACTAACCTCCCATGGATATTGAAGGGTGATTGTATAAGAATCCAAAATTTCAGCATTAGGAGGCATAAATAGGGAGGATCACAGTTCAAGGCCAGCCCAGGGGAAAAATGATCTCGAGACCCCTCCCCACCTCAAGTGATAAAGCTGAGCTTGGTGGTGAGACCTGTTTTTCCAGCTTCTAGAGAAGTGCAAATAGGATTGATGTCCAGAACGGCTGGGCATAAACACGAGACTCTATTCAAAAAGTAACTTCAGAAGAAAGGGATGGGTGTGTGGCTCAAGCAGTAGAGAGCACATACAATGCCCTGGGTTCAATCCACAGTACCACACACACACACACACACACACACAAAGAAAACCCACAATAATTCAAAATTTCAGAATTTGTTAAAAAATGAAAGTTAGGAAAAGTCTCTGGTTGTCCAGACTGCGTAGTGAAGGGAGTACGAGCCTGATGGGAGGGGGAGTACGAGCCTGATGGGAGGGGGAGAACAGGTAGATCAGCAGGCCTTACCTTCTGCTTTACAAGTGAAACAACCAAGAGAAAACATCAAAACAAAACAAAGCAATGCCTGCCCTTCATGCACCAAACAGCCCACTTTCCAGCCTCTCTCTCTCCCACTGAATTTCCTGTGGACACCTGAGTACCTGTCATTACATGTCATCATACTCCAATCATGAACACTGTTATGAAATCATGCTACGACCTTTTCTTCTTGAGGGACTAATCTTAGTTCTTTCCAAGAATCCTGACTTTAGATCTAAAAGGTCACCTCAGAGACCAGTACTCATTTCTCTGCATTTAACAGAAGAGGAAGGAAGGCTCAGAGAGGTGAATGCCTCCTACAGATACAAAACTAGTGTGAAGCAAAACTGGAGGCTGAACGCAGGAGACCTGGATCTCAGTTTGGGGGACGGCTATGGAAATAAATAAATATTACCTTCTGACTATACATCTTTATGCCTCTATCCACTCACCCAACTCAGCCATCCTCTGAGAAAGAAAAGCATGATGGGAGCAGCCAATGACGGCCTTGTCTGCTCACAACCTGTTGGGTGGAGCAAAGACAGGTAGGGAAGGCAGGACAGTGAATTTTTGTCTTGGAGCCTAGCTTTGGTCTTTAAGTCAGCAACATGCTAAGTGTCTGTGGCATGCCCAGTGTCCTCTAAGTTCCAAGAAAGAAAGGAGTCCCAGTATTCCAGCTGGCCTTCCTCTTCCACACCAATGAAGTGGGAATAGAGGCGTGGTGGTGGAAGAATCTGAAACACAAAACCACTAGTTTGTTTTATATCAAATCCATATGCAAATTGACATACAGCTACAGATTGGGGTATTAACTTATTTTTGGTGGTTCTGGAGTTTGAACTAAGGGCTTTGCGGTTGTTATGCAGGTTCTCTATCATTTGAGTCACGCCCCCAGCCCTTCTTTTTGTTTTCATTTAGTTTTTAGTTGGGGGGGGTCTTATAATTTGCCCAGGGTAATCCTCCTATCTGTGGCCTCCCACCTAGCTGGAACAACAGGTATGGGCCACCATGCCCAGCCTAGATTAAGGGATTTTAAAAAGAGAAGTTCATATTCCCCATCAAAAAACCAGGCAGTTGTCTGGAGGTGTGCCTCAAGCAGTTGAGTGCCTGCCTAGCAAGTGTGAAGCCCTGAATTCAAATCCCAGTACTGCCCCAAACACACAAACAACAACAACAACACAGATAGTAAGCAAGTATATTACAATTACAAAAGGAAAACCACTTCTAACTTTTAGCACACATTAATACTGGTCTGGATTTCTTACACACATTAAATTACCATTTTCATGGCATGGAAAGAATGTCAAAGACTAGAGATCTGCCACGTGAAGCCTTGGTATGTGACAAGCCCTTTGCAGAGGGCACAACAGGTTGTCCTGGGCTTCCCACAGGAGACTGGAGGCTGGGGGCCTCCTTCCAAAACAAGCCCTGGGTGTGGGGAGGTAGGGCCCTTCACTAGCCTGTCATTGCAAATTCTGACCACCAGAGGGCAGCTGCGCAGGGCTCTTCCATTCTGCAGCTGGGCTTGGGAGGGCCTGCAGCAGCTGGGGCTCCTTCCAGCAGCAAACAGCAGGCAAAGCTGGCTTTGCAGAGGGCCAGGCAAACACTGGCAGGTGGCAAGAGTAGGTGCTTATCATCATGAGCACCGCACAAAAAGCCTGCTGTGGTTGCCAAATCTACCACTTCACCTAGGTATAAGAGCCCCATTTTCTGCTTCTCCCAGGAGACAAAAGCTTGTAATTTATGGGTTTGCAATCACACCTGTGGAAATCTAGGCGCGTATCACTTCAAATGTCAAAGTCTGGATTTAAAATAGCAATTGTACAGATTTTGTTTAAAAAGGGGTGGGAAGGGGGAAAAGAAAATGATACAGGACGAGAGCCAGGCAGCCAGTGATGGCAGATGTGGCAGCAACAAGGGTGCAAAATATCCAGCATGGCTTCCTCAGTATGGTAATGAGCATTAAAATTTATGATGATTGATCAGACAACTGTATTATCCAGCACAAGAGATCTTTGCTTTTGCATTAATCTCCAGCTCTGTGCACGTTCTCTTGCCAGGCAAGGGGAATAATTAGGGACTTTGTTTTTCTGAGCAGTGTGGGAGGCACAGTGTAACTCAATGCTCTTATTGAACAGTGATCGCCTGGCTCCTGGGCTATAGACCAACCTTGCTCTTTAACAAAGGCCACAATATAACAACAACAACAACAAAGGTGTCAGAATCTTGTTTCTACACTTTTTAAATAAGTACATGTGCAAGGCAGTGGGGACTTGCTACAGTTTGGGCCTTGTGCCTGGCTTTGGTGCCAGTGGGAGGTGGTGGAAGCCATTAAGTGGTGGGGTCTACTGCAGGTCTTAGGTCACTTGGGATGTGTGTGTGGGGGGGTGGGGCGATCCTCAAAGGGCATAATGGGACTCCAGCCCATTCCTCTTTCCTGTCTTTCACGTCCATGCCAGGAGGTGATTTTGCTCCACAATGTGCTCACACTATGCTGTGCTGCCTCACCACAAGCCCAAATGTAATGGAGCCAAGTGATCATGGATTGAAAACTACAAAACTGTGAGCCAAAACAAACCTTTTCTCTTTAAGTTGATTATCTCAGGTATTTGTTACGGTAATAAAAGCTGACTGACCCAGTGGCCTCTTTTTGGGCCAAATCCTCCATGTCTCTCATCACTGATCACTTTCATCAGGGACTCAATCTGTCTTCAGAGTCCCATGTCCTATGGCTGCCTCTTGTGTCCCCTGGCCTCTTAAATCCAGGTGCTCCACGGACTCTGTCCTCAACCAGATTTCCAACTCCCTGAAGTGTGTCTCCTAACTCTTAAAGTACCCCCCTGGCTTCACATGTTTTTTTTTTTTTCTGGTACTGGGGTTTGAACTCAGGGCCTACACCTTGAGCCACTCCACTAGCCTTTTTTTGTGATGGGGTTCTCCAAGATAGGGTCTTAGCCCAGGCTGGCTTTGAACTGTGATCCTCCCGATCTCTGCCTCCTAAGTAGCTAGGATTACAGGCGTGAGCCACTGGCCCTCGGCTCTGAGTCTTTGATCTCTACCTCTGACCAAGTCCTTCCACAGTTACTGGACGGACTAGAAGTCCAATGAGACATGACACCTTCACCTGTAAATTCAAAAGATCCTTGCAACTCTACTCTGTACCAAATTCACCAACTCCTTTCACAGGCTCCTCCCTTATTTCCCATCTCTTATTAGCACAAACTGTAAACTTTGGGAGTTGCCCTCAAGTCTCTTCTTAGTGGTCAGAAGTGGCCCTCTGTACTTAAATGCCTCTGCCTTGGCCATGCCAGTCACTGGTCACCTAGGACCCTGCAACACTCTCTGACTGTACGCCCTGTTCCCACCCATCTTCCTGCTAGGCCCCCTCTACCCTGCACCATGTTTCTCTGGAACACAAATCAGACGTCATTTTCTCACTTGCAAATATTTGGGGCTCCAACTACAGGTCCACAATCCTAAGCAGGCAACCCCTATCCTCTTCCAACTCACCCTCTTCGCTCTCACTCCCCAAACTGGCCATCATCGTGAGCCACCAGGCCTTTCCACATGAGGGACCGGCTGGTCCCTCAGCCGGTCTACACGCTTTCTAGTCTTTGTTTCTCTAACTCATTCCTTCATTCTCCACACATTTGCCAAGTGTTTCCTATGCTCACGACAGTGAGGGCAAAGGGATGATGTAATCAAATTTGTGTGCAAGGAGAGGCTATAAAAACAAAATAAATCCCATAGCACTGGGTCAGGACAAGAAGAATTTTGTATGACATGTAACTGGGCAGCCTGGGATGCACTGTGGTGAGGACCTCTCCTGCACCAGGCAAGAAGGGCAGCCAGGCCACATTCCAATCCAAACCTGAGGTGCCCATGCCAGAGAGAAATCCAAGAAGAGCAAGGGAAAATCTTCAGGTGCCTCTGTTGCAATTCCCTTCACCGATTCTCACATCTAGTCTCACTAGGATGGGAAAACACACTTGAGCATTAATTCTGTACTTTAAATACAAAGGATGTCATTATTTCCCAATTTATTCCAGATGAAGCAGCACGGGACAGGTTCAAGATGCCTGCTGCAGTTAAGATTTCTAGCAAATAATCCTAAAATAGATATGGGGGAAGTGAGAAAAGACACCTTAAAAATATAAACTTGAGCCTGGCCAAAAAGAAACACCTGAATCTGACCAAGCTTCTAGAACCAACCACTGATTTATGTAAAACACAGAGGACAAAGAAATATGTTAAGTTACAGGACAGGCGGAAAATGGTAAAATCTAGACTGTGGGAAAACCTACAGGCCAAAGACCTGGTTTCTTCAACAAGAACGAGCTAAAGACAGAAGAAAAACTGTAGAAACACAAGCCACCTACTTGTGATGAGTGGATAGTGATTCAAATGAATTGTCAGAAGTATGAAATGCAAGAAAGAATGAGTTGTTTGAACAATGGTTAAATATTGGATAATATTGAAAATTATTAATTTTTCTTCAGATGTGATAATGGAATGGTGGTTGCATTATATAAAAAAAAAAGATTGCTATCTTCTTTCAGAGCTATATTCTAAAATAGTAAAGATGGATCTGCTTCCAAGTAACACAGGGTGGGAACAGTGGGAGAGCATAAAAGAAACAAGACTCACTATGAGTCCATCATCGATGACACCGGATGACTAGTACCTGAGGGGTTATTTATTTTCTCTACTCAAATGTTTGAAATTTTCCATGAGTATGCCAGGGGTGGTGGTGCGCACCTCTACTCCCAGCTAATGGCGTGGCCATGGCAGGAGGTCAAGGGAGAAGCTCAAGGCCAGCCTAGGCAAAGGCAGGGAGAACTTATCTCAAAACAAAGTACAAACAAATGAACTGGGAGGTGGCTCACGTGATAGAGTGTTTGCCTAGCAAGTTCACAGCTCTGGGTCAGCTCCTTATACTGGAAAAACAAATAAATTCCATGATTATATATAAAGAAAAAAAAAGGCCCAAATTAATCTTCTTCTAGACCAAATAAAGTGAATCAACTTAAGCTTAAATGTAAAGTAAGAACTTTTCTCCCAAATAGTCACTTTAAACAAAGACAAGCCAAATGCTTACATTGGGAAGACCTTGTTTTGTTTTTTTCAAAATTTTTTTGGCAGTATTGGGGTTTGAACTCAGGGGCTTATGCTTGCTAGGCTCACTCATGCTTGCTCTACATGATCCAAGACGGGGGTTTGAATTCGGGGCTTCGCACTTAAAGCAAGCACTCTACCACTTGAACCACACCTGCTCTTAGTGTGTTTTTTAGATCAGATCTCGAGCTTTGCCCAGACCAGCATCAGACCACGACCCTCCCACCTCTGCCTTCTGAGTAGCTGAAACCACAGGCATGCCCCCATACCTAGCTTGTTTTTGAGATAGGGTCTCACTAACTTTTTGCCTGGGCTGATCTGGAACCTGGATCCTCCTGTCTCTGTCTCCCAAGTACTGGGATTACAGGCATGTGTCACCATGCCCAGACTGTATTCTGTTTTTTAAGAGACACCAGGAAGTTCAACTAATATCTTTGGGTATAAAAGTAATGACTTACCACACAAAGAAGCCAAAGTACAACATAGAGTATTTGGGTCTTAGAGAAGAGATCTTGTCCAAATTTTATGCAAACAATAGCTTCCAGGAAACCAATGACCCTAAGTAGACAGAAAAGAGGAGGCTAAATATTAATTCATCTAATTAGGGCATAGACATCACTAGAAATATGCATGATTGAAACAAAAAGTTAAATGGTCACAAGATTTCTGCTCCGGACACTTGTGGCAGGTACCCTACCAAACGACATTGTTCTTTCCCACTTGTATTTTCTTTGGAAATAAAACTTTTCACTTCTTTTTCCCAGATCAAAATCTTGGGTCACGGTTTTTAATTGCTGGGGGTACCTGATGTCCCATAACTCAGAGTCTCTGTTACCAGCTGGACCCTCACGCCACCCTGTGGGACACCGGACGCTCTTAGGCACAGGGAATCTGCATCCTTTGTGGGGTGCCTCACTCCTTGGGTCAGACTCTAACCGCTGGACAGCTTCATCTTGGGCTGGCAGCTGCCTTCTCACTGTCTACCTGTGCATCTCACACAGGCTAAGCCGCCACACAGGGCACTCCAGAGCCCTCTAACAGGGTGCTTTAATAACACGAAGGGCTCAACTGCAAAACCTTTTATTCTTTCTTGATCCTTTTAGCAATTTTGCAAAAACTGTTAATATTCTCTCTTTCTCCCTCCCCATGCTTTCCCCTGTAATTAAAACATCAGGGGAAGGTATCAGGCCTTCCCCTAATGGTTCAGAGGGTTCAGAGGTTGAAGGTGAGGATGGATGAAATGAAGGTTATACAGTTGGCTGTAAGGTCCAAAAAGTGGCAGAAGAACACTGATTTCTGACAACTCCACTTTAGGGGCTCCTTACTCCAGAAGGAATCTGGACAGTCAGGGATTGGTGTGTTCATATATAGGCAATCTCTAAAGAGGTGGCAGGGACCAAGAAGGCCTCAATACCCTTGTAAGAAGGAGTGACTTGAGTCTTATAGGCCTCTGCCCCCGCCCCCCAACAAAGCCTGCCATATGTGAGAAAGGACCACTTGAGCTGCGGAAGGTCTCTGCACTGTAATCCTGGAGTCCAGATGGTGACTTGACATGAGATGGCAGTTGAACTTCTGTTACTTCAGCCTGCAGTGATGTGAAGGCTAAATCTTTGGCCAGCACCACCTGAACACTCCTACTTGAGGGTACTGAGTCTAGGATATGAGTATGACTACCTGCTCATAAGCCAGACTGAACATCTGAGCTTATTAGGAAAGATTTCCAAATATCCAACTAGAATACAGAATAGTCCTTTTCAACAGCATGGTGACCAGCAGACAGGAGCTGGCAAGAAGCCATTTTCTACTGTAACCCAGTACACACTCATAAACACACACATAGCAGTGAAACAAAAGCTTCACAAAAACAATTTGCAATCCTTGTTAAGTAAAAATTATAGAAGGCAATTGTTTTCAACTAAACTCCTGTCCTAAATCCTAACAGACCAGGCTAAAAGCCAAAATGGAGCCACTCATGTGAAGTTCCACGTCACCAAACTGAAACTAAGCTGTTCACCTGGCCCTGTGAGAAATATGAATTACAGATAACAGCAAAATTTCCCAACTGGCATGATATGAAGTTCCTGCTGCCTTAATTCTTACACAAAAGGTAACCTGAAGTAACCTTAATCTAATCAATCAGTTTCCCTGTTCCCACCTCACAAAGAAAGTAACTTTGAAATGACCAATCCACTACTGTCCCTTGTTTCTGATTTCTTCGGCCCTTTACTCTTTGTAAAAACAACCTCTTCTGCTCAGCTCATCACAACACCAGTTCTGTTTTATAGAGTGAAGTGTTGTCCAATTCTAGAGTAGAAAATAAAGCCAATTAAGACTTTAAACTAAATTGACAGCTACTCTGGTAGCTTTCTGTTTGATTTCATCTTAAATTCTGGTCAGAATCTACACAATTGTCTTCATAACCACCTAGAGTTTTTCCTAAAGACCAGTGCTTCTGAGTCAGTGGCTCCAGGATCTGATTTGCTGCTAGGTGCTAGGCACTCTTTAACCAAGCTGCTGTCTGTACACATAGACACATCTCACCTCCACAACAGGGTGACCAGGTCTAGGGAGCCAGCTATGGGATTATTGGGTGGGTCAGGCTGAGGCCAGAGCACGGGAAAGGTACAGACAGGGGCTTGGAATAAGGAAGGGATCAGTTGGGGTCAGGATAATTTGGTCTTGAGGCCCATCCATACTTGACTTCTAGCCTGAAGGGGCCTTAGAGGGTTTGGAGCACATTTTAACACAATTGGGTTCACATTTTAATATGATAATTTTGGTGGCTGAACCGAACTGTTATGAGGGCAAGAGTAATACACAGGGAGGCTACTGTACCGGTTCATGTGCAAGGACCTCGGTAGGAGCTGCAGGATTGATGAGAAATGCTGGGAACTGAGATGGATTTAAACTCAACATCATAGGGACTCATACCAGCCACTGACTCCAACCACTAGAGGGAGTTCCAGTCAACAGCAACCTTCTAAGATAATGTGACTTTCACACCAAGACTCAAATGGTAGCTAATCTGGAAAGAGGCCAAAGGCTTGGGCACAGTGGGAGCCCATACTAAGTCTGCCAGCTGACACACCACCTACCTCTTCCTAACTCCTCACTCCTGGGCCTCCCACTGCACAGCTCTGCATAAGTCCCTTTAACTCAGTTCAAATTTAAATATCTGTGATCTGTGAGCGAGGTGGCCAAATTATAGTTTGATGGAATTCCGTTAGTGTCCCCATACCCTTTGATGTCTACTGCCATCCTTATCTTGATTTAGCAAGGCTGCCTGTGGGCTGTTCCTGGGGGCAAGAATTAGTCCTGGTCTGCCGGTTTACTCTCAGCTCTGTCTCTCTTTGCACATGGCTCCACTGGGTGGAAAAAAGGCCTTGTTAATGCAGAACCAAGGATGAGGAGTTCTGTGGTGAATGGAATGAGACTGCAGGCAGGGTTATTCCTGAAATTTGGGCATGAAAGCCCTAGGCTCACAGGTAAGTTGGGTATAGAAGTCAACCCTGATTGACAGAGGAAGGGCTCTTAGATTCTAAGGTCATCTCAGCAGGCCACCTCCTGAGTCCCACAAACAGCCCCCTACAGAGGCACAGGAATCATTCCTGGGTACAGTGGAAAAGTAAGTACCCTTCTGGCTGTGGAGCTGACCTCTAATAGTGGAAATCAGAGGTATGGCCGAGAAACTCAACTATCACACAGTCACCTAGGAAGCCAGGGAGTGGGGAGGAAAGGCCCCTAATTATGGAAGCATGGCAGGGACAAAATACCAAAAGTCAGGTGGAATGAGGAAGGAGGGGCTGAGCGTGCAAATGCCAGAATGAAGAAACAGGGGCCTGCCCAGCGAGATTCAAGCCATGATCTACGGAATAGACAACCAATCAATAAGGTCCACAAAAAGGGAGACAGTCAATCGAAAGTAGCCTGACCCAGGTATAAAACGTACTCTCAACCCTGCCTCAGCAATGTGCTATGCTCCTTTGCCTAGCTGCTTGCCACTTTCTTTCCTTTTAAGTGGTATGCCAATGAATCTTTCCTTTCTTGGTAAATTATTTTACCAACTCAAGACTCCTAAATCCATGACAGGCAGTACTCCTGAAGTTCAGAGGTACAGTCCCAGTTCTAAGTTGGATGAGTAAACACACTTTTTTAGAGAGGAAGTGAGAGCTGTGGGGAACCTTAACAGAGGTGAAATGACAACTGTGCTCTAGGACTTTCTGACTTTCAGAAAACGGTAGGAAAAAGAGAGGGGCAGAGGGTCCTGTGCTTGGGACAAGACGTTGTCTGCGGGAAGGGGATCCAGTTGCTATAAAAAGTCTTTGTGACTAGTGCCAGAGTTCTTTAGATGCCAGTAGGGGTGTCCTTGAGGCAAAGAGTGGGGAGTGGCAGGATACAGACAGGATGAACCAAGAGAAGATGAGGTGAACGGGAAGACAGTGCAGGGAAACTGGCTCTAAGGCAACACCGGAAGTGAAGACAGCAGTGAGCACAGGGCCAGAAGAGTGGATGTGAGACAACAGTTGGCCTGCAGGATGGCGATGACCCAGAAGTGAAGTCGGCAGGAACATGGCTGTGACCAGGAAGTGCTGGTTGGGTCACAGATATAGATGGCCCTATAGTTCAGCTCCCTTCTCCTGGAAAGGAGTATCTGTTTTATAGCTGTGTCTATCCTTAAGAAAGACAATCTGAGGCTATGAGCTTAGAACAAGGGCACAATTTTGAGACACTGCAATGGGGAGAGCAGGGTGGAATGTGAAGCCAGCAAAGGAAACTGAGAACAGGAAAGTGGGAGGAAGTCCAGGACAGAATTCGCAGAGGAAGGGGATGGTTTCAAGATGGTAGATACTGTGGAAAAGAGAGGAGAGATGAGGGTATAGACTTGGGAATAGTGCCTGAGCAGTGGCAGGGTGGAGGGTTACAGTACTGGTGGCACTAATAGGGTCAGGATGACATGGAGGAGAGGCTGCTGGGAAGCTGAGACTCTAACAGCAAAGCACGATTGGCCACTGGGCCTCAGGTACGCGTTCTCCCAAAGAAGTCTCAACCCAAGGACTCTCAGGAGCAAGAAAAATAACTTCTCACTCCTGTCCTGTCAAAGCTCAGCTGCCTTCCAGGAGAAGTGACAAAACACCTTTTCTTTTTAAGCCTAGCTAATGCTCTCTTTTTGAGACATGAACACCCAATTACAACCTGGGTAGAATGGGAGAAAAGGTAAAGAAAAAGACAATATAATCTGTACCCCTGCGGGATTTGCTCACATCAGTCTGGCCCCCAAACTCCCACAGAACTGAAGGAACATAACATTTAATTGTTCTCTGTTTTGATAGGCAAGGAAATAACATGAGGGCAACAGGGAGGATGGGGGAGGAACAGGACAAGAGAGGGGGACAAAGGGTGGAAGGGGGTGGGGGAAAGTGAACACTCAGAAGAGCCTGGAGCCCCAGGTTCCTGTTACACCTTTCTCAGCTGACAGTGTAGACAGCAAGATGGCATAGGAGCCAGTTCTTGTGTGTTCACACATGTAGGAGGGTCTCTGTGTGTGATTTATTTTTTTATTTTTGGTGGTAGATGAATGAATACTGGGGTTTGAACTCAGAGTCTTGTTCTTGCTGAGCAGGTATTCTACCACCTAAGCCATGCCTCTCCCCTCCCCCTAACCCACACCAACTGTGATTTAGGAAGAAGAATTTGTTTTTTTGTTTCTGTTTTTTAGCATGGCCTGCTGGTTCTCACAAAATTCATTAATCTTGGCATCACTACTCTGGGAGTTCTCAGTGATTAATGAGGCATACTAATAAGCCAAATAGCTCTCTTTTGCATCTTACTTTGTTTTAATTATTGTCCAAGAAGGCACAACTTTCTATCAGTGCTTCCTACTACTCTTAGCCCCATTTTCCTTTATCTGTGTCTTCCAGCATGGAGACTATACTTTTTTGGCTGCCTAATGAAAAGGAAACTCTGTTGCATCACTACCTCTATCTGACCCACACCTCCTTTTCCTCTACAGGTAACTCAATAAAGTTCTGTGCAAAACATCTACTCCACTGAGGACTTTTAAAAATGAAGGAAAAAATGCACAGGGGAGGGACCTGTGAGAGAGAAGAGCCCAACTGCTGGGGACAGCCCTTTCTCCTAGGACAAGACAGTAAGAGGGCCTCCTCTGTTCAGTCATGGCACCTGGAAGATGTGTGACTCCTCCTGCTTGCTACACACACTGAACAAAGGAAACCCAATCCACCTTATCACTCCTGAAGAAAATCAGCTTACACCACATAATGTATGAGAAACAAATGACAAGGACAATGGCCCTCTGTCTTCTGGTGGGTGGAGAAGGACCTGTTGAAGTCTAACTTGAGTATCAGCATTTTTATCCTTTAAAATTAGTGGTGATCCCTCAGAATCTGGAGCAAGAACCCACATGCATGTACACACACACACACACACACACACACACACACACACACACACAGTTAGAAGGAATGAAAGATCACAGTGACCATTCCTGAGGGCTGATTTCTTTGGTGATCTTTAGTTTCGTCTACATTCTTTTCTGAGGCTTTATCCATGTGCACACATTATTTTTTAATTGGAAAAAGGTTATTCTGTTTTGAAATTCTATTGGAAATAGTCATTTCTTCTCTGCTGTGGGTTTTCCTCAAATTTCCTCTGCACTATCATACTCAATTTAGAACTTAGATTAGGCCTTGAGATCAAGGGAATCAGGGACTGAACTTCCTGAGCAGATCTGCAGGACCTTTAGGCAACTTAGGTTTCGAAACTCGATGATAAATTGCTGGTGTTTAAGTGTCAGAATAACTTGCCTGAGACACTGAAGAGGGGCTCATATAGGATGGTGGGGTGGAGGCAGGGGGTGTGAAACTATTTCATATCAGTTATGTAACTGTAAATTAGGACACAGCACTCATACCCACAATAAGACAATAAATTATAACCATGTGGCTGTGTTCATCCTCTAAACAATAAAGTTATACTTTGGTACAGCAAGCAGCTGTTTGTTTCAAGGACCTTCTAAAGGCAAAAGAATGGAGCATGGCTAAGCTCACAGCAGGATGATGGCCCAGGACATGGTCCGGGGAACCCATCCAATCCATTCTCTCTTTCATAAAACCAGGTCTCCTACTTCTCTGTGGGAAATATCTGATTTCCTAAAACTGTTTTCTTAAGAAAGCAGTTTCTACACCCTCTCTCTATAATTTGCCAAGTAACTATTCTTAACTTATATCAAAAATAGACGAATGTTAAAAATGAAAGATAAAACAATCTAAAACCAGCAAACCTTGTTCAACAATGTGTGTGGGAAATTTACTGAAAGGCACTTAACATAAGATCAAAAACTATCCAGAAAAAAATTAGGGCCTTCTAGCGGGGTGCCAGTGGCTCATGCCTGTAATCCTAGCTACTCAGGAGGCAGAGATCAGGAGGATCGTGGTTTGAAGCCAGCCTGGGCAAACAGTTCACAAGATCCTATCTCGAAAAAAGCCCTTCACAAAAATAGGCTGGTGGAGTGGCTCAGGTGTAGGCCCTGAGTTCAAAACCCCATACTACAATAAATAAATAAATACGGGCTTTGGTGGTTTATAAAGCCCTGATATAACAGATACTCACCCAAACACCCAGCACTGAGTCCCTACACGTTTGCACTGTGTGTCGGTCAGGTAAGCATAGTACTGCCTGAAAGAACAAAGCTGGAATTACTGAACATTCTGGAAGACCAAGTCAATACACAATTAAATCACAGTGAAGGTAAAAATGGTCCTTGCTTTACATGCTCTGTCTTCCTGCTCTAGTTCTACTCCAGGGAACAGAAAATCAGTGCCACTGAAACACTGCTGTAAGAGATTCAGCACTCCAGTTAAGTGGGAGGGAAGGGAGCAAAGCTTAAGGAACCACAGTGTTGGCAAAGGCCACCTTGATCCAGTGAGACTCCACCAGCTCTGAGCCAAGGCAGCCCAGTGGTGGGTTCAGGTTCTCTGTGGAGGTGATTCCTGAGGGTTGGCTCTGGGGGTCATCGGTTGTCCCCTCTGGGACTTCCTGGGCAAAGGTCATTGCTGGTAACTGGCTCTGAGAGACTGGAATGACCCCAGCTGCACTTCACTATCCCTCAACACGGTGACTTTAAACATTGCCAACAAGATCAGAAAAGGGTGTTGAAATCTCAGAGCAGTGCCACCCAACAGCTACAAATAGGAGCCACAGGTGCCATTGTGAGTTGTCCAGTTGCCACATTCAAAGAGCAAAAGGACAGATAAAATTCATTTTAATAACATGCTACTTACGTCAACATTAAATAGTGGATGAGCCCTTTGATGCTTTTGTAAACTCTCTCAGATGTGGGGTGCGGTTTATAGAAACAGCACATTTCAAAAGGGACTGGCCCCATTTCTAGTGCAGAACAGCCACGTGGTGGGGGCCTGTCCGAGGACAGTGTAGCTTGGAGTCTCCTAGATACCCCTGACCTCAATCCACCCTCAGAGCTCCTCTGAAGGAGGAACTCATCATCTTTTGGGGCTCACTGACTCCCTTGAGGATTTGATGATAGAAGTACATAAAACTTGCTCACAAAATTCTGCAAGAAACTCCATGGGATTCACAGATTTACCTAAAGTTTGTACAAGCACTGTTACCTCCTCACCCCAAAGCCCCCAGTGAAGAATTTCACAGAATGCAGGTATCCTCTTACTTCACTTGCATTTCCTTAATCTGACGTGCTTTTACCAGTCTGCCTGTTACCTTCTAATTGCTCTCATCCGCTTACACTATCCCTCTTTATATTATCGAAAGAGTATTCGCCCAGAGTCTTCTCAAAGCAGATTCATGTGGGAGTTGAATCCAAAAGAAAGAAGATGGATCTGGGAGGTATACCGTTTATACTGAAGCCTGTAAGCTCTCTCTTGTGTCAGGGCCTGGCACTTGCTAACTGGATGGCTGCACTGAAATCCACAAGAGCAAGTCTATCTTTCCAAAGCATTTTGTAACATGAAAAGTATCCCGGTAGTGTAAAAGCACTGAAAGTGACTGAATTTTAAGCAAAAAAAAAAGAACTGTATAGAAATCCATAGGGTTTGGTAGAGTTTTAAACTCTAATTTGCGGTTGAAATTTGCAACTTCATGACAAGTCAGTTGAGATTTGCCATTTTGCTTGGTAAGAAGAGATTTCTTTCCCCTCTTACTGACTTTGTTGATTGCCCCTAACTTTACACAAAAACAGCTCCTAGCTGGGGGTAGTGGCACATGCCTGTAATCTTAGCACTTGGAAAGTGGAGGCAGGAGGACAGTCATGAGTTCAAGGTCAGCTTGGGCTGCACAGTGAGATGAGATCCCATCTCCAAAATAAAACATAAAAGAAAATAACTGTTCCTAATCTTTCTGACATTAATGTGAGGTGTCAAATGAAATGAAATTTTAAATGGGGGAGGGGCCTTCAGACCATTAAGGAAAAACAGCATTTATGACCTAAGGACTTGAACAAGCCACTGACCTACAGAGTTTCAAAGGGCTGCCAGCCTTTCTCACGTGACTCACAATAGAGGAGATGGAATTTTGGCTTTAGTTCCACAGGACTCAGACTTCTCTTTTTTACTTTAGCTTGCTTAATCCAGGAACTTCAGACAGTTGGGGTTTTTTTAGAATGATGAATGACAACTAGAAGGGGCACTGGTTGGGGGTCTCTTTGACCAAGGTGAATATCTACTATTGGCAAGTGACCCTTTCTACTTGTGCGGCTTGCACACATATTAAAAATGATGAACTAAGAAATCCTACAGTTTCTGAAAAACTATTTTTTTAATTTTTGGAGGTACTGGGTTTGAACTCAAGGCCTCACACTTGGCTAGGCAGGTGCTCTACCACGCGAACTACTCCACCAGCCCTTTTTTTGTGTTGGGTATTTTTGAGATAAGGTCTCATGAGCTATTTGCCCAGGCTGGCCTTGAACCAAGATCCTCCTGATCTCTGCCTCCCAAGGAACCAGGATGACAGGTATGAGCCATAGGTGGCTGGTCAAAAGTGAAGTCTATAAGAGATTTGGCAGATCTTTAGTCTGGTGACTGATCAAGGCCTGTACTCTGAATTAGTTATAAAACCCAAGTGCCACTTATGAATATTAAAAGTGAAAATGTTTTGCTTTGAACTGTCCTGGGTCCTTGTTTGTGATGGACAGTGTCCTGGAGAACTACAAGAGCATTTTAAAAGGCAATTAGTTTGAGGTCAACCCAAGCAAACGGTCTGTGAGACCCCATTTCAATCAATGAAAAGCTGGGATCAGTGGCACATGCCTATCATCCCAGCTACACAGGAAGCATTTACAGGAGGACTGCGATGAAGCCAGCCCAGGCAAAAGTGGGAGACCATATTTGAAAAATAACTAGAACAAAAAAAAAGCTGGGTGTGGCTCAAGTGTAGAGCTTCTGCCTAGCAAGTGTGAGGCCCTGAGTTCAAACCCAAATACCATAAAAGAAAAAAAAAAAAAAAAAAAACAGGAAAAAAAGCAAGTTGAGTGTGGTGGTACACAACTATAATCCACTATTCAGGAGGCAGAGGCAGGAGGATTGAGGCCAGCCTCTGCAAAAACCTCAAGACCCTATCTGAAAACAAATAAAGCAAAAAGGGCTAGTGGCATTGTTCAAGGAGTAGAATGCCTGCCTAGCAAGTACAAGGTCCTGAGTTCAAATTCCAGTACTGCAAAAAAAAAAAAAAAAAGAAATTAGTTTCCCAGGTCTGAAAAAGCTAATAAAGTCTCAGTCTAAAAAATGGTATCACTTGTGACTTCAATTGCACCACAAAAACTTTCACCACTTCTCAATAATCTCATTTTAAGAGCTTTAAGTGTTTGAAAATGAATAGGACAACTGGTGTGGCTTTAACCATTTGCTTTGTTCTTAAGGCCCCAATGATGGACTGAGGTCTGAGAGCAAAACATTTCTTCACATTCCGGAGTCACGTTCTTTGGGAGGGCTTTTTTCACGGAAAATCTGCCAGTTGCTGGACTTCCCTCCCCGTATGCGGGAGAACACATCAGGTCAACATCCACACACGGCTGTCATGCTGCAGGAATTACCTCACTGTCGGAGCTGTGATGCAACCGATGAAGAGGATGCGACACCAGCTTAACGGATGGCTGGCATGGAACACAAAGATGTGCTTCAAGAAGAAGGTATTCAATTCGGTCAGCTGGAAAAAGGAGAGATGAGTCACCCTGGTCCATCGTGTGAAGTTATGAGCACATGTCCTTAAATAGGTATTGTACAGCTAAAAATAACTAAGATATCCAAAGCATGTTCAGAAAACACATGGGCCCTCCCAGGGGTTGTTGCCAGGAGTTGCTGTTCAAATGAGTAACAGCACAATATGAGCCCTGACCAGCTGGGGATCCAGGGAGGAGCAGGGGTGTCTGGAGGGGGACAAAGGGCTGGGCACCAGATACTGTCATGTGTGCTACTTTGTGGCTCCGCTAGAATGGTCAGGAGAGGAATGCTTTGAGCACAGTAGACATAGAAGTCAGGCTATGCCTACAGGAGGTCCAACCATAGCTAGGTCAGCTCTTATCCAAGGAATCTCCATGTACGTCCTGAGATGACTGTGTACTCGTTTGCATTCCCCTGGGACAGACCAGATCTTTGACCAAATGCAGGTAGAAGGTTTGCTCTGATTCACCTCGGGACAGTGGCACTTCTCCCTGACGTTAGCATCCTGCAGGATGAGCACCTGGCAACAGGATGTAGCCGCTCTCTGCCCTCAGTCCAGCTCTACGTCATTAGCAAGGGGTAGAGACCGTGGGAGGTCACTGTGCTTTGAGAACACATCACGTGGACTGGTGGTGCATTTCAGGTACATAAAACATGTGTTGTTTTTCAAAACCTCTGACTACAAGGATATAAAATAAAAAGCAGACCACTAAACATCACTTGTTAGAGCTGATCACAGCATGGTACTCATGGCCATGGGAGAGGTGAGTTCCAATAACTGCCAGCAGGGGGCTCCATTCTAGAAGCTAGGCTGTCCTTAAATCAAACCTTGCAATAAAAGAAAACAAATCTTTTGCACTTATGGCTGATAAGATAAAGCTAAGCCCAACCCATTGACAGACCTATTTTTATAAATAGCCATCCCTCAGTACCTGGAATATTGGTGTCAAAACACCCCATGAACACCAAAATCTACCAATGCTCTCATCTCTTATATGAAATGGATCCACAGAGTTGCCAGGTGTAACAGCTCGTACCTGTAATCCCAGCTACTCAGAGATGGAGATTGGAGAATCATGGTTGGAGGCCAGCCCTCGAAAAAAGTTATTAAGACTATCTCAACAAATCAGCCAGGTGTGGTGGTACATGCCTATAGTTCAAGCCATATGGGAGGCATAGATAGGATGATGGCAGGCTAAGGCAAAAATATGAAAGCATATCCAAAAATTAGCTAAAGCAAAAAGGGCCGGGGAGGTGGCACAGGTGACAGAGTGCCTGCCTTGCAAGCGTGAGGCCCTGAGTACCTCAAACTCCAATACTTCCAAAAACAGAAATAAAAAGGTTCCTTAACATAAAATAGGTTACGTGCTGATCAACTACACACTTTAAACCAAATCATCTCTGGGTTACTAGTGAGAACCAAGACAACACAAATGCCACACAAATAATGGTTAGGATGTGTTCGGCAGGGAACAATGACAAGGAAAATGTCTCTATGTGTTGAAGACAGACACAACTGTTTTGCAAATATTTTTGATTTGCAGTTGGATGGATCCTCACATGTGGAACTTGTGGGTATGGAGGGTGACTACACCAACTTCTCCAAACCATGGTGACGACAGAAGTACTCACTACTCACCTATACCTCTCAATCCACATGCTCCATTTATGGAGCAGGGTGAGTATTTTCCCTGTGTGGACAAGAAGTCAGGAAGACTGCCTTGGTATCTGGTGACGTCAGGGTCTTGAATATTTTGTCCAGGCCAGCCTTGCATTGTGATCCTCCAAACTATACCTTCTAAGTAGCTGGGATTACAGCTGTGTACCACCATACCTGGCTTGAAATATGGTCTTGCTAACATTGTTTTGTCTGGGCTGGCCTCAAACTTTGATCCTCCAATCTCCACCTTTCAAATAGCTGGGGTTAGAGATGTGAGTCACTGCACCCAGCCCTAATTTCTGATGATTCTGAAAGAGCCTTTAGGCAAAAGCCCTTGGCTAGTCTGCAAAAGTTGTGAAAACACCTAGGAACAGGAGGCTCAATTAAAAACAAACAAACAAACAAATAAACAAACAAAAAAAACCAAGCTGAGGGAGGGAGGGAGGAAAGAAGGAAGGAAAGAAGGAAGGAAGGAAGGAAGAAGGAAGGAAGGAAGGAAAGACTTTTCATTTATTCCTTTGGTCTTGAAAATGACCATCACTGCCTAATTCTTCTATATGCCAGCTGCAGCATATCACATTTTATAAGCTATCTGTTTAGTGTGCAACATAAACGAGCATTAATTCTAAATTCCCAGAAGCTTTATAGTTTTGTTTTTTGCCAGAGTTATGAGCATCTCGAAAGCTACCTGCCAGATGATCATGAAAAGGTATACCCCGGCCACTCTCTGGAAAGAAGACTTGGGATCAAACCACCTAACGTAGGTCCAGCTGGCAGGGGTGAACTGCAGCACAGCACGTTTGATCTTCCCGGTGGTGGTGTGAATGTCCCTGTGAGAAGAAAGTGGTTCTAGTGAAAACTCAAGGAGGTAGGAAAGGGCGGGGTGGGGGAGGGGGAGGAGGGAGGATGAGTAGCCGGGGAGAGGGCAAGCTAAAACAAGGAAAAAACTGCACTGGTGATTTTCTAGCAAGTGCTCAGAATAGAAAGTCCTTTCTAGTCCAGTGTGGTGGCTCATGCCTGTAATCCCAGCTACCTGGAAGGCAGAGATTGGAAGGATTAAGGCTCTAGGGCAGCCTGGGTGAAAAGTCTGAGAGCCCCCCATCTCAACCAATAGCTCGTGTGGTGGTACCTGCCTGCCATTCCCAGCTATTTGGGTCATGGCCCTGACCGTTTAGGTATAAAGTGAGACCTTATCTTAAAAATAACCAAAGCAAAAAGGGTTGGAGGCCTGGCTCAAGTGGTAGAGTGACTGCTCTAGCAAGTGCAAAGCCCTGAGTTCAACTCCCCATACTGCTAAAAAAAAAAAAGTCCTTCTATTTGAACAGTGTCAAGCAAAGGTCTCCTGCTCCCATGGGAGGTAGTTAACAGAAGCACAGCCAATGCGGCATCAGAGATGACAGCAGGACACAATGCTCCCATTGGGGTCAGGGACTGAAGCACTGTGAGCCAGGAGGGGCTTGTGAATTGGTAAAGATAGCAGCCTGGAATCTGTCCAGGAGGAGCTTGGATGTCCCACCCACTGAGGGTTGGTACAATGCCCATGTTCTGTGTTCTTGAGATCATCTGTGTCATTTCTTTACCTTATTTTGGGTTGACAAACAGTGATATTTAACTTTTCATATTTGTAATCCTAACAATCACTCCGAGGTTTCCCATGCCCATGACAGGAAAACAGAGTCCCACATTGTACAAACAAGAAGGTATGAGCACAGAGCAGTGCTGATGCACAATGATACGTAAGCGTCAGAGCTAGGTGCAGATTCCACCCTTGCTGATAGCCCAGGAGAGCTGAAATCCAAGGCAGATACCAACCAGCACCTGGTGGAGAGTCTTTAATTCAACAAGGACCTGTGTCAAGGACCTATGTGCCACACAGTGTGCTTAGTGCTGCAGGTACAAGTACCTGTGCACCAGGCCTTTTCTTCCAGAAGGGTACAGGCAGGGACTGTGGAGGTCACCAGGCCCAGTCCTCCATCTACCACTTGTCCACCCATAGGGACACATTGGGAAAATATGACAGCAAGAAGATTTGCAGCACAACAATAACAAAAACAGACTACCCCAAAATAAGTAAGACCTACATTTTAAAAATGCAAAGTACATGGAAAGACCTAGAAAACAGAAGTAGAGATACAATGTAATTCAGAGCAGATTATTTAATAAAGTGAAGAGGTTAATTCAATAGAATTAATCTATATCCATTTATACCTTTAATATGATTTCAAGAAACATTGGGATTTTTTTGGGGGGGGGCTTATATTTTGGTATCTTGTCAAAATGATTCTGAAGTTGGATGTGAAGCATTAATGTATAAAAATAGGGAAGCAACATATCTATGTTTGAGGGTCAACCTGGAGGAAAGTCAGACTCCACCACCGCCTACTGTACGTCCTCAGGCAAATTACTAAACCTGCAGGCCTCAGGCTCACCCTCCCTGAAATGAAGAGAATTGCTGTGTCTACCTGTACGGCTGAAATCAGGCTCCAATGAGAAACTGTATAGCCAGGCGTGGTGTCTCATCCCTAGTTGGGAGGCAGAGATTGGAGATCATGGCTTGAGGCCAGCCCAGGCAAAAAAATTAGCAAGAGCCTTTTTCAAAGAACAAACTGGGTATAGTGGTGTGCACCTGTAACTGCAGCTAGGCAGTAGGTACAGGGAGGAGGATAGAGATCCTATCCAAAAAATAACTAAAGCAAAAAGGCCTGGGGGTGTGGCTCAAGTGGTAAAACAAGGCCCTGAGTTCAAACCCCATAGTACCAGAGAAAGAGAGAAAGAAGAAAGAGAGAAAGGAGAAAGTGGGGGTGTGTGGGGGCGGGGAGGGAGAGAGGTACTGAGTATAAGATTTCTTGGAGCAATACCTAGTGATTTATTGCATTTAAATATTACAAAGTCTTTGCAAGGACATGGCTAAAAACAGGTATTAATAAAAGGAGTAGGAAAAATTGGTTAATCTCTGGCAAAATAGACCAAAACAAATTTAAGATAGATTAAATAAGTGATTTATAATGACAACAAAAAAGATGCAAATGGTCAGGAGCTAGAAGAAAATACAAGATTAACAAAGAAAAACATGAAATGTTTTGGGAGGCATAAATGAAAAACTCACCACAGACTAAATGAAAAAAAGGATGACAGAATGCAAAATAAAAGTTATATTTATGATGACTCTGTCTAATATTAATATCCTTGAACTATAAAGAGCAATAGTTATTCTCCAAAAGAACTCTCTAAAAGAACTGGACTAGAAATTCAATATCACACAATTTTAGGGGGATGAAATTGACAAAAGTTCAACAATAAAATTCAAGGCAATAGTAAAGGTACACACACACACACACACACACACACACACATATAACTGGTGAAATTTTAAGTTGGTGTACTCTAGTTGTATTTGAAAAAGAGAGGGAGAAAAAAATATATAAAGCTATATGATCAAGAACTTTCACTCCAGCCTTCTTTATAAAGTAAAAACCTTTAAACAAGTAATGGAAGCAGACTGAATACTGTTGGGAAATGGCAAAGGCTGGTAAAACCATGCTTCAGAAGAATACTGAAGAACACAGGGGAAATGATCATGTTTTGTTATAAAAATAAGGTTTTAAATGCAGTGAAAACAATTACTACTTTCATTTTCACTACATGGTTCTTTTCCTCTTGTCAATGGCTGCTTCCTGACAGCCCGGTGTGCTCTGCCACTCCTAGAAGCACAGAGGAGAGGTGTGCGACTTAACCTAGCATCAGGGACAGCTTCCCAAGAGTTGACAAGCAGGCCAAGTCAGCAAATGATGAACAGCCTGGTCCTCGGAACATGAGCCAAATCCCAAATAAAGAGAGGGAGCCACCTGTGCGTGGCCATAGGACCACAGGTGCCCTGGGAAGGGATGGAGAAGGGTCCTGCCTCCCAGCCCACGGGTGTACACTTTGTCCTAAAGACCAGGAGAAGCCATCACAGGGTGAGACATAGTGAACCTTATATTCACTCAAGCAGTGGTGTGAGAAAGTTTGGAGTGGCCGTCTCAAGGGACAGGGGACTAATTAATCTAAGGACAGTAGTCTGAATGCAGGCTGAGCCAGACAGCAGGGATCCAAGCAAATGGATGAACGTGAGACTTGTTCAACCCTCTGAAAACACTGGGTGAGAAGAGAAAATGGTTAATGCTTGAAATCAGGTGTATAATCATTTGCAAGTTTCAAAAATCACTCCTGATTAAACACTTACATATTCTGCAACACCAGGACTAATGTCCCAAAAGAAGAGGACTCACTTGAAACTTGCCCAGTGGTAAGTCCTCATCTCTAAAAATCGGCAGACGACCATGCCCAGCCAGATGCCACCGCCATTGCACAAGAGGATGTCCAGAATGACTTGGTCCCACCAGCACTCAGCAAAATTGGGCAGAAGATGCATGAAGAAAAGCTGAGGACACAAAAAGATGATGGTTGAGAAAAAAAAAGCAACACTGAAGTATCATGCAAGAAGACTATTTCCTTTTATTACACATTGTCTCAAAGTTGTTTCATTTCCCCCAATATATAAAAAAGCTTGCTTTTTATATATATATAAAATATATATATATACATACATATACATATATATATATATATATATATATATATACAAGTCTGTAGTCTAGTCCTTGCTTTTCATGTTGCAGATGGCTTACAAACATTTATCCAAACAGCTCTTTTTTTTTTTTTTTTTTTGACATTGGGCTTTAAAGAAAACAATAGCACCTCTTAAAAAATAGTTGACTAATGACACCAACACAACAAGGATCTGGGAGGGGAAGAGAGGAAAGTTTTTGTGGCTGACTACAAAGAACTGACATCATGCTGAAAATCAGAAGCTTGAGAATGCAAGCTGTGCATTTTAGAAACGGTCCATGGGTACGCTGGTAAACCAGTGGGTGAATTTTACAAGCAGGAAGGCTGGTTCCTGAGGTCACATCGAAGAAAACAGACACCTGACTAGGACACATCACACTCCTTGATTCACAATAATGATAATCTTTTATTAGGTGCCCATGATGTACATGGTGGTAAGACAAAAGGAAGTCAAGGCTGTTGATCTCAAGGGGAGGAGTTAGATGTGTATCCAGATAACCAGAAGCACAAAGTATGCTAGACTGAGGCATCATGGTACAGAACAGATTCATTTCGCCTGAGGGCAGGTGGAGGCTTCTGGAACGAAGACATACTGAGGTGGTTCAGGACAGGGACAACTGATTGCAAGAGGTAAAGACAGTGAAAAGAACATTCCAGAAAGGGGAACAGGAAGATCACAAGTGGAACAGAAGTTCCTTATGGAAACTTCTTGTCCAAAAACAAAGGGTGTATCAGCTGTGTTCAGCACATACTGCTATGTGAAGGCCCAACTTCAGAAGGTGAAATCATAAAGACCATGCTAGGGAATTCTCTGGAAAGAAGCAACCCTGTCATCACAAACCTCTGAAGTAATAGCCTAAATCCTGCAAAGTTACAACGGTATTGATGAGAGCATTTTGGAAGCTATCAACAAAGTATGAACATGAGGAATTTTCTTCTCCATTTGTCTACTGCCCAGGAGCTCCAGGACAGCTACTGCATTGTGATGGCTGAGGTGTGTTGGCCGGCGGGGTGGGGGGGGCACAGAGCTAGAATTCTGGCCCTATGTTGAGGAAGACAGAAACTGCAACAGAAGCCAGTGACACATTTGCTGAAACAAAACTATGCCTGGGAGTAGCTATGGAGCCAGCCTGGTGGCTTTCTGGAAGGCAGAAGATTCTGGAGCAAGATGGGCCCTGAGAAACTGAGCGTGAGGAGCTGGGGGCCATATTCAGGACAGAATGGTGAGTATTTGTGGCACATAAGGCTCAATACTTGGGTCTGGAAATACAGACATGGGCTTTGCCCTCTCAAGGCAGAGAAGACACCTAACGTGTCTACAATGTAAGGGGTATTTTAGAGGAGCGGGGAGTGGTCTTGGAACAGTGAGAGTTCCTTCAGGTGTTCAGTTCAAGGCAGCAGGCTAGTAGGTGAGGGGCAGGGTAAAAAGGAAAGGGGTGGTGAGAACTCTGGTGGGAGAGAAGCCTAAGGTCTTCAAAATGGAGAACACAAAGATGGCTGGAGCACAGAGGCCAAGGATAGAAGCTCAGGCTCATTCTGCTTCTGGGATTTCTTATTGGAAAGCTTTCTTTTGTTATTTTCAGACCTTTCTGCATTAGGATTCCCTTTCTCACCCACGAGTTGGGCTCCGTGGAATCTGCCTTTAATTAAGACTGCTGTTTTCAAATTGGCCTGTGGGGCTCAGGGAGTTCCCCTTGGGCCTAACGGCTGGGTCCAAGTCTGTGTTGTGTTTTAAGAGCAGTGGACAATTACGCAAGAGCTTTTAGGAGGAGAGGATCTTGACGTGGTTGAGGTCGAAGAAGGACCACTTTGGCAACAAACAGTGTGAAGACAAGGACTTGGGACAAGAAATGATGGGGGATCAGACATGAGTGGGAGCAGAAGAATGAAGAGGGAAAAGAGCCTAGGACCTGGGGACACAGGGTGCTGAGAGCAGGGGAGAAGAAGGACAGAATGATCAATCTACAGAGTGAGTGAGGGGAAGCAAGGTGGCCGAGAAGGACCAGGAGCCTTGCATGAGGTCATGTGGTGGCTGGGTAGGACGTGGTACTACAGCAAGATGAACATAGGAACATAGGCTTCACACCTGGAGTGCCATCCTAGCTTATCTGAGGGAACCAGGCTGACCTTTGGCTCCCTAGCCTCTGTGGTGGAAATACAGATGCATGGCTTCTCCTGGCTACTGTGAGGATGCATTGTGGCAGGGACGGTGTTGGGCCCTGATGGATGAGCTGAACTAAATCCTCTCAAGATTCTTATACTGAAGCCCTAACCTCCACTTCCTCAGAAGGCAAATTTTATTTGGAAATGGAGTCACTGCAGAGGTAATGATCTAAGAACGAGGTCATATTACAGTAGAGTGAGTCCCTAATCCATTATGACTGGTGTCCTTATAAACAGAACCAGGAAGGCTCAGACACACACAAGACAAACACCACCTAATCACCAAGGTAAAGACCATGGTGATGCATCTACAAGTCGGGGATACCAAAGATTGCCAGCAAACCATAAGAAGGCAAGGGAGAGGCCTGGAAAGAGTCTCCAGACACTCCTTAGATGGAACCAACCCTGCCAGCCCCACATCCTCAGACTCCCAGCCTCTAAATCCCTGAGAGGCACATTGACTTCTCTGAGTTAGGGTTGGACAGTGATTGGTACTAAGAAATACACTGTGCATGTAGCCAAATTCTGTTTTCTGGGAATGATTAATAATAATATTAAAATTGAACAATAATGAATTAGTTCTACAAGTTTCATTTCATTAATAGTTTTTCAAGAGTATTTCTCTTTCATTAATTAAGTTAGACAAACTTTTGATTACCAAAATAATGGAGTTCTTTGAGAAGCCATTTTCAGCTGCAAAAATACCTTTGGATGCTCTAGTAATTCCTGAATACCTAATTTTCTTTATCTCAAACTGGGAACTCATGTGTGGGTAAACTGACTTAAGTTCTACACTGATCTTTTTATTACCATTTATTTTGTCTCACATGGATTTAACTTTATTCTTTAGTTAATTTCACTTGTTTCTCTTTAAGTCGTCCGACTTCTCCTATAAGTAAACAAGGAAGATTTTATTTAGTTTTTGTTTCTTAAATGAAGGTATAAGATATTCTCATGTTGAGGGTGTAAATAGTTTTAACCACAGAAGCTGGAGAGTGGATCGACCGACTGTTACTTGACAACTCTTTTACCTGGTGACATAGACTGTGCACACTGTGGAGTCCCTATAACACCCCTACCTATGTCTCACCTCGGTCAGCTCCCAGGTGATGCTGATGGTCCAGCAGAGACCGTAGCTACGGATCAACAGGGCTTTCATGGCCCAGCCCCAGAAATGCCCAAATGCAAATATGTCAAAATGGCTGAGGATCCTTTCCCAGGTGATCACGTGGCAATTCACAGCATACTCCTGTTTAGCATAAAAAAGGAAAAAAATTAATGGCACTCTGAAGACCACCCTGTTGTAGGATTCAGGCAGTCATCCAAAGGACTGATATGACGTTGACAACTAGTGTATGTCCTGTTCAATTAAAAAAAAGTTTTAGTAATAAGATTCTTGGAGTAAACAGGCAAGGATTAGGGTTTATAAGTGAGAATTACTTTGCTCTCAATTGTGATGCTGGGTTAAAATGGAAGCAAAATAATTTTACAAAGGTTCAACATGTTTTAAAGAAGCAGAACCATGTCACTCATCTGACCACAGGGCAAATGTGCAAAACACAGTGTCAAAAGTAAAAGATCCCAGTAGAGTTAGAAACTTAAAATCACATTTCTAAAAAATCATTTACTAAAGAAGAAATCACAACAGAATTTTTAAAAAATGAATACTAAGGATTATGAAAATATTGAGATTTAAATCAACTCCGAGATCAAGTGTAAAGACTAAAACACTTATATTGGGATCCAAGGGCTGAATCGCTCAAGTTCAGACATGGGAAGAAAACAGAATAACCCCTCCCCCACACACATCTAGAAAGGTATCAGGTACATAATTTACATACCAGGAAAACTAAAGCTTTTAAAGATTTGGGTTTCATTTCTAATATCTTTTTGTTTCAAATATGATATTATATATTTCCAAGCAATTTTCAATCTTATCTTTAAGCATTATGAAAGTAGTTATCATGTGACTACATGACAATATCACATTTCTTAGGAAGCTCTACATTTCATAACCTTTCTTCACCAAACTAATCTGATAGAAAAAGTACCTGCCAGCAGCCAACTGGAAAAAATCCCTACAAACTGTAATGCTGTCACAATCTAGACATACACTTTCTAAGAAAGCAGAAGAGCAGCTCAGTCCTTTCTAGTCTCTTCTGAATCCCACCATATCCGACCTCCTCAGATACAAATAGGATTTCAAGTTGCAAAGCTGAAAGGACTACCTTTGGAGAAGCATGGGATGAGATATTACTGAGTGTAATAGAAAATGCAGAGGAGGGAGAATAAAATTCAACAAAAGTAAGTCTAGGCTTAAAGACACAAAACTGCCCTGCAAATGCAATGAAGTCTTTCCCAGACTCGGAACTGCATTTTCCTGTTACAGGCACTCCTCGGCTGACAGAGAAACACCCTGGGACAGGATACAGACTAGGTCAAAGAGAGTGACACCATACCACCAATCCCCAATTCCTTAACCTCCTCACCTTTCTTACTCTCACAGGCTGCTTAGGGCTAGGTAAGGACGTGATGGGAATGGGGGTCCTGCTGTCAGGAGTTTATTCAACATGATCACAGGCTGAAGGTGGCTTTGGAAGGCTTTGTACTTCTATGCTTCAATTATAGGAGGGCATTTAAAAAAAATCAGAAAGAACCAAGCTGCTCATACTAGCATTATAATTATTAATGAGCAGATGTGCAAATTCATGACCTTCAGAGGACCTGAGGTTCTGGTCCTGAGAAGGCCCCAGGTCTCTTGAAGTCCCTTGGTCTCTTGGAGGGGATGCTCTATGGATGTCCTAGTCCCTTCTACAAAATGACACAGGTTTTCATATTACCTACACACATCCGCCCATATATGCTAAATGATCTCTAAATTATTTCTAATACCTAATATAAATGGTTTCTTTTATTAGGTTGTGTTTTTTAAGGAAATAATGGCAAGATTCCATACACATTAAATACAGATACAATTTCTTTTCCCTGAATATTTTTGATCTGCAGTTGGTTGAATTCATGGATGCTGAATCCAGGGATACAGAAGGCTGGCCATACCAGAGCTTGGGAACTGCATGCAAGCATGAGTCTGGGGAACTGGAGGAACAGGCTGTAATTGAGGACAGCCCAGAGCCAAAGCCTGGAAAGGGGCCAAATGGGCAGGTGTGTGCATGAGTAAATGATAAGTAATGATGAATTCTGCCACCTCCCAGTGGGTCCCTGGGCCAATTTTGCTGGCTCCATCCTCTGTGCTTGCCTAACATGTAACCAAACACCAAATCCTACTCATGTTACTTTCTCTTTTCTCTACCTCATTACCACTATTATTTCTTGCTTAAGACTTTTGCAATAGCCTTCTAAACTGTTTCAGAGACGATGCTATAATGTGTACCTGAATAACCACCCTGTATTCAGGGTACTTTTGCTTCCTGTAATGTGTTATTTTTAATTTTAATTTTTTTTATTGCTGTGCTGGGTGGGGGTACATTGTGCTATTTACAAAAGTTCTTAAAATATATCAAATATATCATTTGAATTCACCTCCTCCACCATTTTCCTTTATTCCCCTCTCCCCCTATTCCTGGAAAAGTTCAACAGGTCTCATTTTTCCATTTATATACTTGTGTACACAGTATTTGCACTATATTTATCCTCCTAACCCTTTCCTCACCTTCTCCCCCTCCCACTGCTTTTTACAAACTCATCTTGAAAATCATAAATCAGCCCATGTGTGCATATGTGTATGTACACACGTGCGTACATGAGTATGATATGTGTGTGTGTGTGTGTGTGTGTGTGCATGCGTGCGCTAGGGCTTCTACACCTTCCTGGTGTAGAAGGATCTCTACTACTACTTATTGCAGACTTCCAGCCCTATTTTCTCCTTCTCCCTTTTGGAAGAGATAGTGATTCTGGAGGACCCAACTTTTTGGGTCTTCCCTTGGAAATTATTTACCTTCGGACAGTACAAGTTCTTGTCTGATCCTCAATCATGCAGAAATTTTGTGAGCAGGGCCCTGCCTTATGGAAGAAGCTTCTGGTTGTCCAATGGACCCGGGGAGGTCAAGCCTGCCTTATCAGGGGACAGGGAGCATATTAGCAAGCTCATGTGGCCCATAATATATGGTTCTTTAAATAGATAGTTTCTTTTGTTCCCTTCCCAAAAGCCATACCTATAATTCAGGGTGCACCTTAAAGTTGATGTTGACCTCCTGACCCCACAAATAATGTAATGTTATAGAGACCAGCAGACATCTGGGCATTCTTGTTTGATACACAGCGTCACTTGTGATGCAGCCCCACCATACAAACTGGACTAGGATCTGGAATCCTATCCGGCCTGTATGCCCAACTTCCCACGGACAGAAAAGGCAGGGGGGACAGGGATACATCCTCAATGACACCCTGCAAATCCATGCTGCGAAAAACAATATGGTTTCTTGCATAAACAACCTTTAAGGAGAAAGTTAGTGTGTGGGGAGAAACTAACTACTGATCACCAGATGCTTCATTGAAGCTTCAAGTGCAACACATGCACCTTTTCAAGGTCCAACCTGAGCAAGTCCATTCTAAAAAGCCCTTATCAGGCAACTAACTGGGAGAATATAAACACTGATTGCATAAGCTAACTGTAAAGTACTTATGCTAAAAAAAAAAGAAAAAGAAACAAGGAGTCCATACATATTTTAAATTTAATGTCTGCGAACAGTTTTGAAATAATCTGGGGTACAGGAGGACGGCAAGATTGGGTGTATGTTGATAACTGTTGATGCCAGCTGATGGGCACATGGATGTATACATAGGGACAGGAGATTCTTTCTACCCTTGCATATGTTTAAAATTTGTAAAGTTTGTTAAAAATATGTCAGAACTGTTTTAGGGTTCAGTAGTCAACAATTGTTCCTTTAAATTTACCCTCTGTATACCCTAAGACAGGGAATGTACCCATCTGTTCCCCTGTTACCACCAGCATGGTGTTAGCACATAGGAAAAGCTCAGTATCCACTAAACAAAAAGACTGCAGCATCAGACAGACCACAAATGAGCTGTGCTCTCAAAGACTGCATAAAGTTTTGACTATAATCAATGCTTTATTTGGTCTTATTTGGTGCTGGGCTTCGTGCATGCTACACGCATAGTTTAGTACCGAGCCACACTCCAACACAGAATCAATATTTTAAAAAGTAACAAACTGTTCAGGTAATTAAACAAGAAACTGTCTCAAACAGGATTAATGCCCCTTCCACCCCAATTTCTAATAGAAACTCTAAGGGCAAAAGGGAGTCTGAGTTTTAGTGGGCCAGAGTGTAGTCAGATCAGGAATGGGTGGAAGAGTAAAGGAATATGGAGAACAGATGACCCTGAGGACCTGTGAGTCACAGACCTTCTGTCCTTCATAAAAGACTTCTTTCCACAAATCCCACAGTATAGAAGGTATTTTTCTACAGCCTCCAATGAGCAGGTCCTTAAAAGTGTGCAAGCAATTTGAAGGAAATATAAATTGATAAGGGATGGTGAAGATGAAACTGCTCCAGCTCCAGCCAGAAGTCTGGAAGCTTCAAACAGCCTCATGCTTGGCTTGGCCAAAAAGAATTAGCTAATATAGGAGACTGTATCTTAAAAAGCCAGATGTAGCTATTTTGGAGCTGCAAGTGTGACATTCAGTTATCTCTGTGATGTCAGACTCCTATGGAAGCTAGAGGTCAAGCATTTGTTGGATCCAAGCTGCTCCCACCAGCTGGAGATCTGGATCAACAGGGATACCAGACAATACCTGCAAGTTGGTTTGCTTTGTAATGTGACCACTTTTGCTCTAAGGCCTAAAAAAGGTTGCCTGGGAAAATATTTGATCAGGGATTGCTTTCTCCCAATTCCTGCCTCCTGAGGCTCCTGCAAGCATGAAAGTACTTTTGATGATACTGTGTACTTAAAGCACAGTTGAAATGAAAAGCATGGATTAGGAAGCCAGAGAGAGAGAGAGTTTTGAGAGAGACACTTAGCACCAAAGTTTCGTTTCCTCCTCTGTACAATGATGACATGTCTGGATCTGGAATGCCCTCCAAAAGGCCCTTGTGTGAAATGTTTGGTCTCCAGCTTGGCACTGTTAGAAGGTGGTAGAACCTTGAAGAGGCGAGGCCTAGGGGAGGTTTTAGGTCATCCCACCTGTAATCCCAGCTACACAGGAGGCATAGGTAGGAGGATCGTGGTCTGAGGCTAGCCCTGGAGAAAAACACAAGACCTTATCTGAAAAACAACTTAAGTTGAAAAAAAAAAAAGGGCTGGAAGTGTGGCTCAAGTGGTAGGGCACCTGCATAGCAAGGCCCTGAGTTCAAATCCCAGTACCACCAAAAAAAAAAAGAAAGATTTTAGGCACAAGGCTATCTATACTCTTCTTACAGTGCACCTCTGCTTTGTGAGAGGATTCCATGTCCCTGAAGTGTATCACTTTTGAAAAACCATGCAACTCAACAGCCCATGTGGAGATCCAGGTTTTAGCTATCTATACAGGAAACATGGAGAAAGAACAGCTTAAAATGTGACGTCTACTACCTCCCACACCCAAGAGTGCGACAATTTCTCTACAGGGCCCCTGCCAAATACATACCATGATGTCTGCTTCCCTTGTGGCATATCGAAGATTTGGATCTAACCAGTACATTAAGGATTTGACCTGGTCGAAATTCAGGAATAGGAGGAAGACCAGGAAGAGGAAGTAGAGCACGCTGAGTCCTGACAGAAACAAACAAAAAAACCAGCTCAAGTTTAGCAGAGAAACACAACGCACATTAGACTTGAAAGGCTTCTTGTCACAACCTGCACAACTATTGCAACATAACCGGTTAAGAACTCTGTCACAGTCAGGAATTATGGGGAAGGGGACTGGGGATTGAACTCAGGACTTCAAGCTTGCTAGGCAAGTGCTCTACCACTTGAGCCATGCCATTAGTCTCTGTCTCTGTCTCTGTCTCTCTCTCTCTAGTGTTTTAAATGAGGGAGTGTGATACACAGTCCTAATTCAGAATGAGAGAATAGTATTTGAGCCAAGCCTTAAAAGACTGGCTCCCAAGGGATGTGTGAGGTGGACATGGGGCGCACACACAACATTCAGGCAGCACAGTGAGCATGTGGCCAGGTCCCTGAAGAGAGAAATGTCTAGGACCTGATATGTGGCACGGGTGATGGCAGAGAAGGGACTGAATGAGTGGCACTGAAGTGATAGGTAGGGCTCGGGGAACATGGCAAAGATGTCCAATTTCCTTTTAAGGTAAATGAGGAGGAAATAAGATAATGCAGGTAATGTCTTACGAAGTCGACTCGGTAGACTGGACATGGGTCAAGTTGGGTGTGGACACCCCAGTCTGCGAGCCCTATGAGGTGCCTGGGCCGTTGATCCTAGACTGACCCTCCATGTGAGCCCTTGAAGGCATCATTTTATTGTCACAGCACATCATAATTGCTATCCTAATTAACCACACACCAAGTAATACATTTAAAAGAGGTAAAAGCCTGTGCTTTGCATTTCAGAAGGCTCTGAAAACCAACTGTGAGCATTGTCGTTTCTTTCTGTTGAGCCTGTTAGAATTAAGATGTTGATAAAGGGCATCTAGACACATGATCTTGGATCACAGCACCCCATCCAAACTTGGCTCAGCGGTAATCTCCGAGGAGCCGTTTCGGAGAAGAGGATGTCTGTGGCTGGCATGAGACCCACAAGCGCTGCAGCACAGGCCTTCCAGTGGGACCTCTGCAGTCCTCAGGAGCGTGCAGAGGCTCAGGAGGAACAGAGCCAACCCACGGTGTGCATCCCACGGCCAGGAAACACATTTTAGGCACATTGGTATGAGAACTGCCCTATGTTTGCACTTATGCACTGCCTGTTACAAAATTTCACATCAAATGTCTATCCGCTACACCCTTCTAAAAAGTATGATCCTTTTGAAATAATTATCTTAAGCAGAAAGAAATTGTCTGTGGTATATATAGATGCTCTTAAATTGGAGCTCTCGGTTGGGTTTTGGGATGTGTAAAACACTGGATAGATAGTATATGTAAAATTGTACAGATTAGGGAAAGGTCTATACATCTCATCAGATTACTGAAGAGCCTCATGTTTCAGAAAAACTCTCAGGTAAGAAATAAAACTGCTCATTACTGAAACAGAAAAAAATTCTGATGTGCCCAACTGGCTGAAAATAACTTATAACTTGAAGCAGCCGTGTTAAGTCCATGAGGTAAGCACAACCAGGACTATCCTTTTTAAAAACATAAGCGCCTCACGTCACTCACTGCTCTGGGAAAAACCCTCCTGAGATTTCCCAGTGCCCTTTGCACCCACATTCCTACTCTGCCTGGCCCACAAGCCCTCGATGCTTCTGTCTGTGCTGGATTCCGTGATCACTCTTGTGTATTCCTTGTTGTCTACTAAACGCGGGCCACATTGGCCTGAAATACCAAGTTCTTTCTAGCTGTGGGGTCATTTTAGTAGTCTTTGTGTTTGCTGGAATGCCTCTCTCCCTCAAATCGCTGCATCCAACTTTCCTTTCTTTGCATCCAACCTTCAGCTGAGCCTCCCTCCCTCAGGCCTCTCCTCATTACTCAACCTAAGGCAGTCGTCCAGTCACTGTCCCCTTATCCAGGTTTGACTCACTGCCTGACGCTTAGTGACAGCTGATCATTTTTGATTACTGACTTGCTTAATAGTTTGCTTACTACAGCTGTTCTTGTTCCCCTGACTGGAAGGGTGGCTCTCAAGGGCAGGCTCCTGTATATCTGGTCCTCCTTGGTGGCATGTCACACAGTCACACTCAATGAATAACTGCTGAGTGAAAAGTTCACCAACAAACTCAGAGATGAGCATCTGAAGGATGCTCAGGCAATCTTGGGGGGGACAGCGTGGTTAAAATACAAAAAAAAAAAAAAAAAGCACATAATCTTCAGCAAAATATCCTTTTATCAGGGCCCTTTTGCATTTTTACACAAGATTACATTTTTCCAAACCTCAAAGTCAGATATCCTAAGTTTTGAAGATTTATTTTAAATCCACTCAGATGATTTAACTTTTTGGACCACAAAATCAAGTCAAAATAAGATAGCCAGCTTTTATATGTTTATCAATAAGCTTTAATTCAAAGGAGGGCTCTTGGTCTCAACTTGTTTCCTTTTTCCAATTTTCTTCTCATTCACAGCACTGAAGAGATTGAATTGCTGCATTTTCATTTCCTCCTGCATGCTCACGAGACAAGTGTGCTCACGGATGCATCTGAGCTTTAACTTGCAAAGGGCAACATGAAGGTGTGTAAAGGAAAACAGGCAATACTTGCTTAAGTGAGGTCTTGTGCACCCGTGGAGTGAAAACAGTTCACGTGGACGAGAGAATTTAAACCATCAGCAGTAATTTACTTGGTGTCAAAGAAATTTAAAAAAAATAAAGGTTAAAAAAAAACTATAAAAGTTTAATTGCAGATGATATAATGACATAGAAAAACAACTTTTTTAAGCGGAATATTTTTTACATCTATTAATGGAACTCACCAAAAACCATTCTCCACAAAGCTGGATGAGGTCGAGTAAAGGGACCTGCAGGTAAACGTGGAAAGTTAAGAATGGTTCAAAACACAGAAGAAGAACGCACTGTGCAACATACACACGCATAACAGAAAGCTCTCTACTGGTTTTTCGGCCACATAAGCACTTTGAGGTCAAAGTCAAGGTTGAAATATTTTACCCACATTGTAACAACTATCACCATGACCATCACAGGCTTTGTCCTTAGAAGTAGAAGCATAATTTCCCATGGAAACAATGTTGTAACCTTGACCAGGTCACCAGGCTGGCCTTTGAATGCGTCTAATACATATTGTGTCTTCAGAAGGAAATCTGCCAACTCTACTGCTTGAGCCAGAGAAAGATTCAGGACAGCCTAGAGGCTGTGTGTGTGTGTGTGTGTGTGTGTGTGTAAGAGAGAGAGAGAGAGAGAGAGAGAGGAGAGACAGAGAGAGAGAGAGAGAAGGAGGATGGGGAGAGGGAAGGGCAGAGAGAGGGAGGGTAGGGCAGAAGAAGGAAGGAAGGAAGGGTGAGTCAGAAAATAAGAGAAGAAAACAAGTGGGGAGGGGAGTATGGAACCCTAGGAACACACTAGAACAGCGGCTTTTGATCATGACTTGTGATAACAAAGTATCTGTAACATGGCAACCCAGTTCCAACACAGATTTCTCACAAGTAAAACAAAAGTTTCACAGGACAAAACTACACTTTCTCTTCTACTGAAGGTGGAAGAAGAGGAGAGGAAGAAGGAAAAATGGAAGCCAAAAAGCCAATTAGTCAGTTAGCTGGGCCTTGGCCTGCAAATCAATTTACCACTGACCTTAAGGTTTCAACTCACAAATACATAAGAGCAGTACTCTAGGGGGGCACCTATCCCGTTTGGGGCTCCCACCCCCTTTGAAGAGCTTCCTTCACTTGGGAGAACTGGCAACATTACGGGGAGACACCCGAGTTTGTTTCCCATTTTCTATAGCTTGGTCTTCAGTTACACCTGGGCTACACTTGAACTTGGCAGCTGGTGACAAAATAGGAAAGGATGCAAAGTATGCAGAGCTCTCGTCTCTCTGTTTCTCCAACCTTGGTCAACAGAGGCAGAATCCCACCTAGGATCCCCTGGAGACCATGGCAGTGATGGTTCCACTAGAGTTCACTGCAGAAGTGACAGTGGGGCAAGACACAGCCTATGTTGGCTGGGGTTTCTGTCTTAGATCAATTTTGGATGTGAGGCTTGGTTTCCGAGCCTTCTTCCCTCTATGAGCCAATCCATAGATAATCCTTAACACGCTCTGTAGCAAGCAGTCAACTTGCAACCTTGAGTTCTGTCTGAGGCAAACATTACATTGTAACTTTTATTCTGGAATCATTCTAAAATCTAATATATCTTCTCAAAAAGATTGCATTGGAATATATTTTAACTACTTTCTTTTAACAAATTAAGTTCAAGTGAAGAAAATCAGTCACAAGTATCCCTCACCACCCAAGTCTATTCAGTTCCTGTGTTCAGACAGTAACAGCTCAGAAGGTGAGTTACATTCATGACAGACTTGTATGCGTTTGGTTCCAGAGTTGTGGATGGCAGGAAGTAAGAGCTTGAATGATGAGGGCTTTACCAAAAAAGTGTATCCAACTCTGTTCCACTTCTAAGGTTTTTTTTTTTTTTTAAATAAATTTTTTACTAGGATATATTCATTATACAGGGGGAATTCATAGTGACAATTCTGATTAGACTTATATTGTACTTTAGTTACATCCATTGTCTCTCCCCCTAAACCCCTCCCCCACCCCAGTGAAAGCAATTGCAAGAGGTTTCTTTGTTCTATTTCATGTAAGTATATGAAGTCCATCAACCATATACCCTCACCTTAATCTCCTTCCTTCACCTTCCTCCCTCCCACTAGTACCTCCACTTATAAGTTCTGATAGTGAGTGCTCAGAGAAGAAGGAATACCTATATTTCTTTTTGATCACTTGCTTCTTTCTCAGGAAGTTACAGTGAAGCATACAAATCACTTCTAGGTAATGCAACACGGTTACCTTTTGCCAGAAGTCATTTGGAAATGATGATTAAAAGTGCCATGTTTTATTTTCTCCAGTGAAAGCTCTTTTACTGATGTGTGGCTGCCTGCCCTACAAACATTACTTCAGCATTACCACTGAATCAGCCTTTGGATATAACATGGGACCGACCACAGTTTTCTCCATAAGGTGCAACTCTAAAATTTTATGGCCTATTATTTGGCTTGCACCAGAATGCTGTGTCCAATCAACACTCAGCCATCAAATAAACAGTCATTGTCAAGGGCAATTATAAAGTGGACAGCACTTTCCAGCGCACACACTAACTTGACACTCCTGTACACATGAATGTTCTCCTGCCGACTCAGTGCCGAGGGTGCCACCATCTTCCCGCAGCACGGAAGCAGGCTCTGCAGCATGAGGTACCTGTCCTGGGCCTCACGGCTGACAGGGTTCCTCAGCAGTTGTCAGGTTCTACTCTGTCAGCAGGCCGAGTGGTGCAGAGTGCCTGGTGCCTCTAAGGCATAAGGAGGGGGACTGGGGGGTGGGGGAGTCCAAGGTTTGAGCCAGGAGTGCAGGGGAAGAGGATGGAGGGGTACTCTAGGGGAGGGGGATGGTGGTGAGTAGAACATGCCCTAGTTCTATGTGGAATCCATAAGTAACATCAGAAAAAAACAGGAAAGAGCAGGGAAAATGGTAGGGAGGACTGGAGGTAGGGAAGCCTGGAGTGATGTTAAGCCAGAGAATTACCACAATCTTTTGTCTACAAAAGGTGAGAAAAGGCCCTGGGATGTGAGGGGTTTTGCAGTAGTACTGGTGATTGAACTTGGCCTTGCACTTTCTAAGCAAGTACTCTACCACTTGAGTCTTTCTCCCCTTCCTTTTGCTTTTAGTTTTTCAGTTGGGTCTTATGATTTTTGCCCAGATCCTCCTATCTCCACCTCCCAAGTAGCTGAGACCACAGGTATGGGCCATCACGCCCAGCTTGTATATTTAGATAGGGTCTCAATAGCTTTTTGCCTAGGATTGCCTTGGATTGTGATCTCCCTGTCTCTGCTTCCTAAAAGGCTGGGATTACAGGCATACATCACCATGCTTGGCTGAGCCTTGAATTTTTTAATACAGTATTTTAAGAAGTACATTCTTAGTAGCATTACTCACTAAAAGTACCATTTACTCTCAAAATAATAGTAATAGTGGTAAACAAAATGAGTGGAGGAGGAGGCTGGCCAGTTTTTATATTATGAACCTTGTACCTGTGCGTGCCAGGTCACCACGCCTGGCTTTAGTGAAGCCACTGCTGACGATCCTAAGAATGCAGGGGGATGCAGGAGGAGCCCCGCTTTCTGTAGCATCCACCTGCCCATGAGATCATGGCTTGACTTACCAGAAACAGTTAAACCTATGAAAATTTAAGTTCAAGGGACTAAAACTTAGGGAAGTGTAATTCTTCTAACAAAACTCAGAAGCTGTTTTTCCAACAGTGACACATTTATATCCTTGGGCCAGAGGCCCCTGGCAAGCCCTCCTAGCAGCCTCTTCTCTTGACCATTACTGTAAAGTTCAAAGTCTTCTAGGAAACAAGAATAAAATTGTCTCAGTACATTTTAAACCTTAGAAAAACATTATTATTATTATGCCTCAAGAAGGTATGACCCGTGTTTATTCTTACAATGAACAAGTACTAGTTTAATTTCTTGACTTGCAATAAGGTTTATCTTTTTTTTTTTCCTCGTTTATTCATATGTGCATACATTGTTTGGGCCATTTCTCTCCCCTTCCTCTCCCTCCCCCCAAAAAACATTATATTTTAAGAGAAAAAAAGTATTGGAGCAGGAGACAGAATAGTAAAAGAGGTTTTTTGTTTTTTAATTTGGAAGATGGCAAATCTTCTAGATCACTTTCAACCATCAAGAAGCTGTGATCAGACCAGGTGTGGTGGTGCACTTCTGAAATCCCAGTATGAGGAGGGAGATGCAGGACCACAAGTTTGAGGCAATCCTGGGCTACAGAGCAAGGCCCTGCCTCAAAACAGAAACAAAAACAAGCAAACAAAAATTGAGAAAACAGCAACAAAAAGATGCAATTAGCAGGACCTGAGCTCAAAAAAGTGAAATGAGGACACAGAAGAATAAATGCAGGAAAATCAGGAAATGCCACTATTCTGCTATCCTCAAGACACATGTAAGAAGTGTGGAATGGTGCTTTCTTACAGACAACAAAAAGGAAAACAAAAGCTGAGTTTGGTTAACTTCTTTCTTGGCTGTTTCATTACCTAAATGAACATGTATTTCCTGAGGAGTGGCTGGGGGACAGACATGGGTACACTCAAGGCTGGCTGCCTTGAGTAGGGTGGGGAGAAAAGGTCCCAGGGCCCTCAAAAGCTGAAGGGCCTACCAGAGGCCGCCTGCTGAAAGAGGTCTCAGTGAAGCGCAGACTCCAACGGGCTTCTCAGGTTCCCTCCTGCGATGAGGTGGTATAGTTAAAATTACACTTGCACTTGATGGTCATTTGCTTTACTGGGATGGAAGTAGCATTGAAAACAATTTTTTAAAGGAGCCAAAGGTGAAAGGAACGTAGAAGAGAAGGAAATGGCGGGAGAGAGGAGGCATGCAGTATAATCCCATTCTCTCCTTCCCCTGGTCTTACAGGACGCAGGAAGGGGCCTTGGAACCTAGCCTGCCCTGCCCCCTTGCTGATCATCAGAGGAGGATTTGTGAGTCTCCACTTCTTTCCCAATTAGCGCTAAACCCATGGAAGGAATCCTAGTCACCAGCTATGTCTCTGTCAATACATAGCTATTCAACATCTACTGCTCTGCTGTTGGAGATTTCAGTCCTCAGGACTGGCTGGAAAAGAGGCATATGTCTCAATCCTAGTCAAAGATGTGAGAAAAAGCAGATTAGCGGGGTGCTGGGAAAAGTTTCTTCACTCTTAAATAAAAGACACAGGAGAAGAGAAGAGTTCTTCTGTTAGACACTGCACATTGTTCTATGTCTAGCTCAAGAACATTAGGACAAAGCCAAACATGGTAGCACATGCCTGCAATCCAAGCTACTCAGAGGCAAAGGAAGGACAATCTTGAGTTTGAGCTCAGCCCAGACAAAGGTAGGAGAGCCTGTCTCAAAAAACAGAAACAAAAACAATAGCGAAAAGGCTGAGGTGTAGTTCAAGTGGTAGAAGCTTGCCTAGCATGTGCAAGGTGGTGGGTTCAATCCCTAGTCCCTCCAAAAACAAACAAAAACAAAAAACTATTAGGACAGAAAGGTCTGGGCTGGGACCACCATGCTCAAGATGGGAGAAGAGAAAGAGTGTAAACAGCCTGGGTTTTCACATGCCTCTGAATTAGCTGCTGAATGAGCCAGGCTTGAAGCCATCCTCTCTCAGAACATCTTGCTATATAAGAAAGCAAGTATTTCCCTTCTAGCTTAAGTGATTTTCAATTACTTACAGCTCCATGCACCCTGACTGCTAGAAAATCTTTCAGAGAAACTAAGTCAAGGGACTTCTTTGTTAAAGAAAAAATAAGATAAACAAGAGGTGCTTGGGTCATGAATGTCTTTCTCAGAGAGGAGCTGGTTAACTGTCATGACTACAAGTGAGATCTTCCTCTTATGGGACTGGATTAATCAGTTGGAAGCAGGTTAATAGAAAGCAAGGTCACTTCCTCTATTTTCTCTTCACGTAAGCCTGTTTGCCCTACAGACTATTACACCTGATGCAGCCACTCAGTCTTGGACTTCCAGCCTCCAGAACGGTGAGCCAAAAAAATCTTTTTCTTTAAAAATTATTCAGCCCGCAGTGTTTCGTCACTGTCACATAAAGTAGACTAACACACCTGACTAACCTCCCAGCTCCTACCACATAGTACTGAGCTGCAATCACCCTTTTCTACATGTAGCTGAAGTCTTATCTGTGGCAGTTTCTGCCACAGGTGTTGGCAGAAAGGGAAGGGTTCTAAGGCAGGAGTAGAGCGGCGAAAGGAGAAAGTGGGGAGGCTCAGTTCCCCTTGCCAGCTTCTGCCAGTCACGGACCACACTTGGGCAACAGAGGAGCAAGGATCCAACTGTCACCTGCCTTCTGCAGGTATCTGAGGCATACTACGTGCAGAACAACTAAGACCCAGCTCTGGGGAAAAAGAAAAGCCAGAGACTAACAGACAGGAAGAAAAACGGACAGTGACAGACACATTTCCATAGGAAGACAGAGGCAAACACCACACAATGGACCTGACGGGAAATATGAGCTGAGTTACTTCAAGGAAGGCAAAGGCAGAGCCCAGCACCAGGCTGACATCGAGTGGCCAGGTGACTCCAAGGATGACTGGTGGCCATGGGTTTCGGCTTTCTCATTTGTAAACTGAGCAGGCTGAGCTAGATGAGCACTAGATGGGTCGTTCCCTCCCCCGATCTTGTATAGATCCCCAAGTCCACACAGCCAGGATGAACTTAAGATTAAAAGCACACACGATATAAGCTTACAGTTCTATTTTTCCAAAATCAAAACAACAGCACAGTCCCACCATGAGAAGTCACACAGGTTAAGAGAATGTTGGAGATGAGAGGACTTCACAGGAAAATGGAGGAAAACCAGCAGAAATAACAAAATGTGCCTTCAAATACAAGTACTGGAGGTATCTCTAGTGCCTGGGGTAGCTTGAAAACATCTGCAAATGATGCACTACAGAGGGCATGACTACAAACAAGGCCACTGAGAGACTCATCGTTTAGACTCCTCAAACCTCCAAATGGCTCTGGATTCAGAAACAACAAATTAGAAAAAGCAAAAAAGAAACCTTCAAGCCATGAAGAAGTGACCACTGAGAATCAAGCAGCAGGTAACAGAGCTAAGGAGAGGGAAGACTGGAAGGACAGACCTGATTCCTCTGGGTTGATATTTCCTGACCATGTATGTATGCACTGTGCTCAGGCAAGGAATAAAGGAGATAGGACAGGGGCCACAAGAAATAAAAAGCAGACATAAGGGCACAGATAAATGATGACATGGTATTCAGCAATGACAGAACTAAGCAGCAGACCTTGCCAGGATACAGAGGGTGAGAAGGATAACCTGAGTCACCACCACCTGAATAGTCACCTGCTCACATTTTTGAGGCTTTGGTGGTGGAGGGATGAACTCCTTGTGTTGGTATCCAACCTGAGATAGAGTTCACGATCTCCTTACTTGGAGTTGTATTCTTACACTACCATTGTATAAAAAGCTCGGATTGCAGAGCTGAGGGTAAACACTCACAGCTGGGTTCTGTGACACTACTACATGGAACCCTAGAAGGAAAGGATAGGCTGCAAAGTATCCAAGCTGTCCTGATATGCCTAAAATTATAAGATTTTGTAGGTTGGAGATGGGAGGGAAAGGAAAGTTGGCGGACAGCCAAAGGCTGTTTGACAGTGGTTTTTCTTAGCAAATTCTACAGCAGGTCAATAATGTATATCTTGTCCTCATTATCTCCATGACTGTGCATTATTGGAGCCATCACAGAAAAGCCAAAGTACACTTGTCATGTCTGCAGAAGGGATGCAGGTTTTCATACAGAGAAAGGTTTTCATTAAGGTAAATTTCACATAAAATCTTGAGTGGTTGGAAAGTTCAACTCAGCTCCCAAATAACATGGCCTGCTAGGATAATTCACTCTTCAAGAAATTGTGTGTCATGGTTTCACTGGCTCAGTTCCTATGCTACCAGCAAAACTCGCTACGTTCTTATAAACATGGTGCTCCCCAAGAGAAGCAAAACAATAAAACAAAATTCTACTGCCACTATCTTGGGAAGCCAGAAGCCCTTGCCATGGAACACTTCCGTTCCATATGAACGTTCCATATGAACGTTCCATATGAACGTTCCATAACATTCACAGTACATCTCCCATGTTACAGATCATAGTCTCCAGAGAGGCATGCGATGAGATCCAAGAGATAATCTTGAAGCCTGTTATTTCAAACCTGAGTAGGTTTCAAAATATCCGAAGTATATGAGAAATAGGATGCAGGAGTAAGCATTTAGAAATGGTTACAGAGAACATGTACAGAATATTCTAGAGAGAAGATACAGAGATTAAGAAAAATAATGCAACTCGGAAGGGGCAATTCAGAGAAAAGGTACGAGTTAATTGGAAGCATGGCTGAATACCACACTTGGTTTCTCTTTTTTTTTGGTGAGACTGGGGTTTGAACTCAGAGCTTTGCACTTGCAAAGCAGGTGCTCTACCACTTGTGCCACATTTCCAGTTCATTTTGCTCTGGTTATTTTGGACAGGGAGTTGCTCAAACTATTTCTCCAGGCTGGCCTTGAACCATGATCCTCCTGATCTCTGCCTCCCAAATAGCTAGGATTATAGGTGTGAGCCACTGGTGCCTAGCCCCAAACTTGTTTCTTTAAACAAGGCTCTGCCTCATTCTCTCCAAAATCATGATGGGGGTGAGAGGAAGTGGGAGATTCACAGTAATAATTATCTTTTTCCTGATAATAAAAATTATTATCCCAAATGTACAATCAGCAAAGTTAATTGTGTTAGAAGGTTATTTGGGACCATAAATTATTTAAGTAATACTCATTACAGCATTGACCCTGTCCTTAGCAAAAAAAGAGTAATAAGGGGATAGGACTTTGATTACATGATAAGGTGAGTGCACACAAGGGAGGTATGAGGATAGGTAGGTAACCCCCCCCCGAAAAAAAGATAGCATTTGATGTCCTCAATGCAAAGGAACTAATGCAGAAACTTTAAAGCAACAGAGGCCAATAGGAGAAGGGGACCATGAACTAGAGAAAAGGTTAGTTCGAGAAGAATCAATTTTGAAAGTAACCATATGTACATGGAAGCAAAACTAGGAATCTCCCTGTATAGCTGTCCTTACCTCAACTACCTCTGGTCCTCCTTATTAATGTTCATATTCTCTCTTCAACAAAATTGAGATAAGGGCAAAACAGTTCCTGCTTGGAAGCGAGGGGCTGGGGGTGAGAGGGAAGGGGTAGGGTGAAAGGGAGGGGGCAGGGGAAAGGGGGGAGTAATAACCCAATCATTGTATGCACATATGAATAAAGGAAATTAAAAAAAAACATAAAAAAAAACACCCCAAAAAAACCAAACCAAAACAAAAAAAGAGTAACAAAAGTTGAGCACTGTATAGCTCAGCAGATAATAACTAAAACAGCAACAAGAAGATCTGGCAATTCATCAGTCACTATTCATAGTGGGCTGTGGTTTCAACATGGGGTTTCCCCCCAAGGGATCATGTGTTGGAAACATGGTTCCAGCATGGTGACATTAAGAGGTGGGATCTAGTGGGAGGTCGTTGGGGGTGTTGCCCTCAAAAAACCTAATGTAGTTCTCTTGGGACCGTAGCTCTCACCAAAGAGTCACTATAAAACAACAAATCTAACTTCTAGTCTTACCATGTGATCTCACCTCTTGTGTCCTCTCCCACCATGAGGAAACCTGCCACAACATGAAGCCAAAGGGACCTTCACCAGAGCCAGAAACATGCTGTTTGGATTTTCAGCTTCCAAAACTGTGAGCTCCATAAACCTCTTTTCCTTATAAAGTACACAGCCTCAGTTAGGTGCTTTGTTATAGCAATGGAAAACAAAGTCATATGGAGTGTTCAACATGTATGAAAGCTAATTCCTGTTGTCACCATTCTGTAGAAGAGAAACTGAAGCACTCTTAGCCTAGGGGGCTTCCCTAGGACTTAAAGCTAGGAAGTCCACAATGTGCAGTCTGCCTCCAGAGCCTGGGCTACACAAAACAAAGGTTATTATTATTTTTTTCCATCTCCAGTTTCATCTGCTGGATGACTTGCATGTCAAAGAAGTCAGACGGGCACAGAAGTATGACAGCACATTATATCATCACTTACCATTGGGGAAAGCTAACACGCTGATGATAAGAAAGAAGAAAACTACAGAGAGGATGCCTTTCCAGATGTTGTCTTCTGGAACACGGTCATCCCTGAAAATAGAAAAACAACAGTGAGAATTCATTTTCACACCTAAACAGTAAACCAAAAGGAACAAGCTTTGCGCGGTGTAAACAATTTTGCTGAGCCAAGTCCCTGCATACACTATTTACAACTCACTGCCATTTCCTAAAATCACAAACCTCACAATAAAGTCCAGTTCTTACTAGGAAGACAGTTCAGGGGCGGGGGTGCAGCTCAAGTGCTACTGAGCACACCAAGCATGCACAAAGCCCTGGGTTCAATCCCCAACACCGAAAACAAATAAACAAAAAGACAATTGGCAACCTTCACTCCAACACACACTCACTTGGACATGCATTTGAGAATCACTGTTCTTTAAAAAAGAAAGCAAACAAAACCCTACAATGTCAAAACACAAGGTTTATTTTGGAGAAATGTCTTTTGGTCTGAAGAATAACTGAAGATGACCTTTGTTGATACAGGATGTGGCAAAGACATTTTTCAAGAATCAGAAAGAAGTATCAGATTGTAAGGAAGAAGGCACTGCAATGAGATTATATCATCTATTCTTAAAATTGGGCAGTTGGCTGTCTAAAAGGATGCTTGAAGATGGGGTGGAAAGGTTAGATAATAAGATAGAGTACCAGTAAAAAAGTTAAAGAGAAAACAAAACATGAGGTTTAAAATCACATCCAGAGCAAAAGAATTTAAAGAGAAAGGAAGAACCCTCTTCCCAGGCTGGTCATTCTAACGCAGTATCACAACATCGCCCTAAAACCCCAGTGGCTGGAATAACCCCATTTGTTGGTTTGTATCACTTGTCTCCCCTGTAAGTAGCGTACTTCTGAAGCAGGGAAGTATTCATTTCTGTTCTCAGAGCCTGGAACACACACAAAACTCCACAGGTATCTGTGGACTTCTTGCAGATTAGGGAAAATATTAGTTGTGCAAGACCAGAGAAAATTTCCCAAATGGAAGTTCACATTGACACTGGGGATGAACTAGGGTTTTTTTTTTTTTTAATTTATAGTTTACATTAAAAAGAGTCTAGTAACACATTTGAGTCTCAAGAAAAACAAAAGCAGGAAAACAGAAATGTAAGCCAAATAAGGAAAGAAGTCCTGAGTTATTGATAATTACTGGGAAGCTTGGGAGCATTTCCGTTTTCAAAAATGCAGAATGCATAGGCAGAAAATGTTGACACTAAGACTAGCAACAATCAAGTAAAAGTGATCAAAGAAGTTGAGTTTGTGTAGGGAAGGGATGAGTGAAAGTTTTCAAAAGACAAATATTAAGCATTACTGAAAGGAAAGAAAGAGATTCAATCAGCTTAAAAGAAACCCATGTTTGCACAGAAAAACAAATCTAGATCATCAAAAAATATGAAGAGGCGTGGAATGAAAAACAATAAATTAACTTCATTAAAAACAGTTCATTTAATACTAGCTTCTGTTTAGGCAGCTAAGTTTCTGCACCCGATCAAACAACATTTAGAGTCATGACAGGATTGAACATAGGATCTGAAAGAAGAGCCGTACAATGTTTCTTAGATCACTATATGCACTCAAATGCAGGAACAGTGCTGCTACCTTCGTAGTCAGATTACAAAACCAAACTAGAAAATCAGGACAGACTTCATGGTCAACAAAGTATAGTTTTATTTTAATGGACACCTTAACACTTGACCATCTGCCCAGAGGTTATAAATATGGACCTGAAAATGCCAGCCTGGTCCTGACAAGGGTACCTGCAATGCTCTGGCTTAATCAGGGAAGTTCCATATTGGATTTCCAGGAACACAACCTTCTCCTTCAGACCAACTCTGCATTACTGATACTGATAGTCATGGTGGTCATCGTAACAGCTCCTGGTTATCAAGTATCTGCTGTGCAACAGACACTCAACGGGCAACTCAACGTTATCTCTAAGTGTCACAATGCAACATGGGGTATTATCAACCGCATTTTCCAAATGAAGTAACAGCAGCCCAGAAAGGTAAGCAACTTGTCCAAGGCTACACAGGGTAAGAAGTTGCAGAGTTGGCATTCAAAACTAGGTCTAGGGACTGCAGGCATGGCTCAAGTGGTAGAGTGCCTATCAATTGCAAGGCCCTGAGTTCAAACCCCAGTACCACCAAAAAACTCAGCTCTGCTAGTCTTGGAAGATGATGATCTTTCCCCAATGACAAGCTCCCTCATTAGAAGATTATCTATCACCTAAAATCAGTGTAAGTCATGTTAGAGGCAAAGGATGATAGGAGAGACTTGGACAAGACACATGATATGCAAGTTACAACTCAGAAGCAAGGCTAAACGACTATTTATGGGAAAAGAAGGGAGAATCTATAATCCACACTTTATGCCAAAATACATTCTGGATGACTGAAAGAGTTTAAGGGAAACTATGTATCTATATGCTGGAAAACTTAATAGGAGAATCAAAAACAAACAAACAAAATAGTCAACAATCTTAGAGTGGGAAAAACTTTCTGAAGTACAGCACAAAACCCAAAAGTCAGAAGGAAAGAAATCAGTAGATCTGCAGAGCAAAAAGAAATCAGTAACAAAATCCAAGACAAAGTGATCAACTTGGGGGAAACATTTGTGCTTCATATCAAGACATGGGCTAATTCTTCTAATATACAAAGTACTTCCTCCAGAATCAATTAACACAGCGGACATAGCAAAACACACAGGAAATGGGCAAAAGATACCAAGATTGTTGACAGGGTGTGAAATCCTATGGCTCTCAGACAACTGAAAAGACAGTCCACCTCCCTCTTGGAAAGAGATGAACGAATTAAAACAACACTGAGAGACCATTTCTTTTAATCTACCTAATGACTAAGCTGGTGAGGATCTGAAGAAATTGGTAAATTGGCACCCCTATACACTGTTGGTAGTTGTATAAATGTAAACCTCTTTTATGGAGGGCAATTTAACAATGTATTATGTTTACAAATGCATACACCCCGTGACTCAGCAATTCCATTTCTGGGAATTTATCCTTCAGATATCCTCTTATTTATGCAAAAATATCATATGTATCAGGGTGTCCATTACAAAATTAAATGTATTTACAAGACTGGAAACAAGCTAAACATTCACCAAAAGGAAACTGAATAAATTTTGGTCTAGGCCCAGTCCAACAATATAATATAAAAAAATAAGTAAATAAATAAATAAATAAGTAAATAAGCAAATAGAATACTAGCGAGGGGTGAATATAATCAGAGTACATTATATACATGTATGGAAATACTATGATTTTGTACAATTAATTATGGTAATAAAAATAAAAATTACAGTCTAATTTCACAAGGGGAAAACTAGGCAGCCATAAAAAGGAGAAAGGTTTTTTTGTGGCTAGTAAGAGGTATAATTTTTTTTGGAGGGGGATGGTACAAGTGTGTGAACTTAAAGCCTTCTGCTTGTTAAGCAAGTGCTCTACTGTTTGAGCCACACCCCAAGTCCTAAGAGTTATAATTTTTATTGGCATAAATTAATCGTACAAAGGGTTTTATTATGATACATATACACAATGGCTGATCAGGTTCACCCCCTCTATTACTCTTTCTTAATCTCTAATCCTCCTCCATGCCTTTAAAACGGCTTTCATTATGCTATTTTCATAAATATATATATATATAATGTATTCACCCTGTTTTATCCTCTTTTTCCTTCACCCGTGAGAAGTTTTTATGAATTAACTGTTTCAGAATAACTTAAGAGATATTGTGAAATAAAGAAAATTGAAGGGCAGATATAATAAGCAAGCATTTGTGTACATAAGGGGACCTATGTAAGGGGATATAAGTTACAGTTTGTGCTTACAGAGGTACAGAATGTCTCTAGACCTCCACTTGAGGAAGGGGACACCGATTTTCTAACAAACAGGAAAACTGAGGGGCTGGGACAGAGGTGTGCAGGGGAAACCTCACCACATACCCTTTGGTATAAAAAATTTTAAATAAGTCAATCAGCAAATCGTTCTCTATTTAAAATTACCAACTATTCACAATGCTCGAAAACATATACCATCACTAAATTCATAAGAACTTGAGATCAATAATAAATAAGAATATAAAACCCAAGTCGAGCATGGTGGTATACGTCTGTAATCCCAATACTCAGGAGGCTGAGGCAGGACGAGGTTCGAGGCCAGCCTGGGCCACGCAGCAAGTATGAAGCCAGTCTAGTCTACACAGTGAGACTGTCTCAAAACAAACAACAAAATAAAGCCAATGACACTACAATTGTGCAATTTGTAAGCAATTTTGTTGGAAAGAATCAAGCGGATGGCCTAGTTTCAGGGAGAAAAAAATGGTGGGAAAATAAACCCCGGAACTCTGAAAAGTTGGCCGTTTCATATCTGTTTAATGAGGAAAAAAAAGTATCAAAGATAGACAAGTGAGGTCTTTAAATAAACTAAGAGATCAAAATATTGTAGCCAAAGAACAGGGAGTGGGTGGAAGAGCTTAGGACCAGAGCTGCACCTTCACATTCTAGTATGAGTTTCTTGAGCACAGAGAGGGTGCATTTACAGCACGGGGCACAGCCCTTCTAAGTGGTGGATGCACAAAATAAACTGAATGCTGCCCAACATCCCTGCAGGTCACATGCAAGTTGAGTGCACAGGACTACGCTCTAAGGCCTAGTGTAAGTCCATCTTTTCAAAATGCCAAATGATCCAGGGATTTAACCTTGCACTGAAATGCACAGAAATTTTCCAAAGTTAATCATGAAAAGGAACTTGGCTACAATGGCCACACCAGTGACCTCAGAAAACCCACTTTTAGTGAGAAGAATCATCTCTATGAACTCCATGGTACCCCGTGCCTCATTGGGCATGCTAGTCTTTGCGTGTGAACTTCCTCAATCTTCAGTAACAGCCTAAAGTGGGAAATGACCAAATTCTGCATTTTACTCATGAGTTCTGGCTCCAAAGTGCAAACTGTCTCCTGTGCAGGCAGCCAGACAGTGCAGTGACAAGGAGAACGGGTTGGTGCCAGAATGCCAGCTGTGTGACC